CGCCTCACACCTTTTTCAAACCCGGGTTTGTTAGAGTGGACTACAATAAGTCTTAAACAAGTCAGGCGACATTTCATTGATAATCCCAACTTGATCTCAGTTGATCCCAGTTTTTTTAAATACGAAATCAATGACCGAACTCTGCCTGCTTGCTCATAAGCGTACCGGGTTGCTAGAGTGGCACCCGTGGACAAGATTCATTTTTTCGCCCCTTCAACTCTAAAACCCATTATTTTCATAAATAAAAGCCCATTTTGGGCCCACAACTAGTCTGGCGCCCGGAGAAATGTATCCTATCAGCCCTCCTTAGCTACGCATCTGTGCCTGTACGATAAGACGGAATCAGTGGCGTAGCTAGAGATAATGCTGTAAGACATAAGTTTTGCTGCCCTCTGCAAAAAAAAAAAAACAACAAAAAAACAACACCAACAAAAAAAAACAACTCTGCATTTGGCTAAAAATGCCACGCCTTCATAAAAAGAAAAAAGTGCCGTCGGGGCGGAGCACCGCCTAACCACCCCCCTCCCCCCCTCTTTTCCTACGCCATTGGATGGAATCAATTTGTGATACGTCATTAGTGGTGGCAATAATCGATAAAGCTAATTTGGTATTGGAGTACATATTTTGTAATCGTGGACCACAGCTACAGATGTTCTGTGGAAACTACTTAGTCCAATGAGCTAGAAGATATCCAAATAAGAGTTTTTGCATTCATAGTTATCAATGTCAAAGATGGAACTGATCAAATGGGAAGGACATTTGAGGAAATCTTATGAGCTGGTTAGAAAGTACTTCAAGTTTTAAGATATCCAGTGAAATTGTTCGCATATTTTAATTTCATCTATGTAAGCCTATATAATCCAGTCTTGCTATCTGGTAAAGTGTAATCCAGTTGTGCATTTTGTCACCATAATAAATAAATAATACAGTTGCTCCGCCTTGTCTTGTGTAAAATTCAGTTGTGCCTTCATGCCTTGGTGTATTACTCAATCGCCTCAAAATGAATGATTCAGTTACCCGTATCCCATCTTGTGTTTGATTGATATACTGATTATGTGCAATCTATTCAGCGAATTCCTGGGAATTGCCTAGCAGAAGGTGAATGCTATCTCTCTACTTTCCCAGGATGCTGTCAAGATGAACCAACTGTCCAACCTTCTACAGGACGCCCTCGTCTCTACAGGTCATGTCCACCAATGTGCCCTGGTCAGACGGAAAGATACTAATGTCAGGGCGAGTTCATTGGGCTTTAATGTAAGTTGTACTTTTTTAAACATACATTATTCCAAGTATGCATGCATTCCAGGTCGATGTACTCACACTATGTACAGGCAATGGGCCACATACATCATGACTTTTTTCATATCTATGAATGCTAAATTTACCTAAAAACAGTCATGTATTTATAAATTATATACAGGTATAGATTATTTTAAAATGAAATAAATGTTTTCAGCCCCTGTTTGGTTGTTATGTGAGAAAGTTACCAGTCCCTGTTTGATTGTTATGTGAGAGTTACCAGTCCCTGTTTGATTGTTGTGTGAGAAAGTTACCAGTCCCTGTTTGATTGTTGTGTGAGAAAGTTACCAGTCCCTGTTTGATTATTATGTGAGAGTTACCAGTCCCTGTTTGATTATTATGTGAGTTACCAGTCCCTGTTTGATTATTATGTGATAGGTACCAGTCCCTGTTTGATTGTTGTGTGAGAAAGGTACCAGTCCCAGTTTGAGTGTTGTGTGTGAAAGATATAATTTCAGCTGTAGTGCCTTGTATGAAGGGATTAGTCCATTTGATTAATGTCATTCAAGCTGTAGTGCCTTGTATGAAGGGATTAGTCCATTTGATTAATGTCATTCCAGCTTTACCCCGATCAAGTCAGTTTGCTGCTGGCAGCTTTCAAAAATCCAGCCCAGACAAGGGAAGAAGGAATCTACTATGATGACAAACAATACAAGTGTGTTAGAGCTGATAAAAATTCTATCTATGCCAAATGTGTAAGTTCAGGTACCAAGAGCTTAAAGTGTTCATTATCGGATATGTTGATTGTGTACAAATAAAAATAAATTTTTGGATCAAAGATTTATGTTCCAAGGGACACAATTCTATGTTGTATGAGTGTGTGTGTGTGGGGGGGGGGAGTGTAAAAGAATGTGATTCTAAAATATAACATCTTTGAATTTTGATACAGGTTGTTTAATTACGTCTTGAGACTTGATGGATCTAATGAAATAATTGTGGTAATTGTTTTTAAATTTCTGCATTTCAATCACTGCTGATGACAGAACAAAAGAGGTCTTGTACTTGTAAAAACAGTAACCTTGCTAATTATAGCAACCTACACAGATGCAATGTTCCCCAGTGTGTGTGTTGAAGCAGTTGAGAAACTAGGTGAGCATAACTTGTTGTTTCTCTGACATTTTTAGATAGGACAGGATCTTTCTGTTTGTTGTGAGATCAATGATTTATTGGATACATCTTAAGTTTAATCCATCTTAAATATCCATTGAACATTTTTGTGGCTGATTCATATCATGTTCTGTTTGTTGGGAACTAGTAAAATACTCTTCAAATAAATCAAATTGTTATTTAATAAAGACTTTTCTAAATTTCCTGTGTGTATACCGACTTCAATTTATGACATCGACAGCTAGTCAGTCACAATCTTGATGTTTAAATGGTCTTACTTCTATTCACAACAGCTGATTATTTCAAGGAAAAAGGCAAATGAAGTTCAAATGTACTGGTGTGAGAAACTGCATGACACACTAATATGACACTTAGATGATGACTACTTTTAATGCACATGAGTTATTTTAAAATCCCATCAATATATATATATTGCATTGTGCTAATGATTATTGGTGTATTGTGTTTATGATTACTAATATTTTTGATACAGACAATTTCCTTTTTAAACATTAGCATGTTGATAGTGTAAAGGTCATTTGAGTTAGTAGCAATTTTAGAGGGTGTGAAAATAAATACTGTGCTGAATACTGGTACCGGTATTGCAAAAGAATATATTGATGAAATAATTTATTGTTACATGTAAATTGTTAATTTAATATATTAGAGTTTTACTTGAAATATGAAAATAAAATAGAACTTCAATAATCATGGAGACCTTGATGAAATTTTTATAATTAGATGTAATGACGTTTAAGTCAAAATCAGACATTTTGATACAATGGTGAAATATGTCATTTTTTTAAAAAGCTTAATCATGCTTTAAAACCAAAAGTTTTCCCATTTGAAATAGTTAGTTTTCCCCTAAATTTAGTGCAGGTTCTTTATCTTATCAATATATTAAAGTTTTGAACATTCCAAATTGTAAGAAAGAATATAAAGCTGATGCAGTTATAACTTACTTTATTTAGTCTAAAATAGTTTCAGTAGCTTTTGAGATGGTTTCCTTTGTAAGGAACTTACCACAGAACATTTTCTAGGATGAAAAATCAAAAGATGACATTACAGCTATATAATTATAAATAATAATGTTAATAAGAAAGCCTCTGTGGTTATACAAGGGAAATAATAAAGATCTTACTTATTACAAGATCCACTCAATTTATCATCCATTTCCATTCACACATTCTAAAACTCACAATTTATTTGATTTTGAATGCAAAAGCTCAAATTTTTTGTCAACAATAAAAAAAAATCGTTCTAAACTTCCATACATATGTTATGAAGGGGAACAAATCTATAAAAGACAGCCTAACCAATATAGTGAAAATAAATGTCCAGAATAGGGAGGTATCAACAGAGAGAAAGCTGAAAAAACAAATATGTTTTATTAAGTTGAATGTGCCTGAAATGCTTTGCATTTTGTTTATTGTTAAACATCAAATTTTTGTCATAAATCATTTATAGAATATGGTACTGGTAGTGAATACGTTTTAAGGTTACATTATTTTTAAATTTCAGATCTTTCAAACTCACTCAGCTACTAATTGACATCTATTTTTATCTAAATGGCTAATGTACTGCAACAGCCAATCAATGTTTAAGGGATGGAGCCAATCGAATTTTTGACATAAATATTTCTGAAACAACTTGAGTACAGTAATGATGTGTCAAAACAAATATGTGCCAGTTTTACAGATGTAACAGCCAAATTTTCCAGTTACAATCAGTTTGATCATTTACTAATGACTAAATTGAATTTTATGGTTTGAAATTCTAAAAGAAAAATTCCCAAAAATGCCACGGCATTGAAACTACTTTTGATATAAATGTGAACCAGTTTAACAACCTATTTGAAAACTCCACATTGAAGTAATGGAACTTTAAAAAAAATTATTTGGTTCCAGTAGTACAGTCCTAATAGAATCAAGCTTTTGCAGTTTATTTTGGCACAAAGCAAACCAAGGTTACACAATGAATATGCATTGAGAGGGCTATTATATCATATTCCTTTTCAAAATCTCAATGAAAATAAAATTGTACATTTATTCATGTTAGATATATATATATATATATATATAAATATATATAAAAATAGCCAATAAAAAGCTTGGACAAGGACATGTATGATATAAATTCTATCATTCGTGCTGATTGCTTATGCAAAAAAACCAAGCTCACATTTTCCCTCCATTTAAACCATTCCTTTGAACTTCATCAACTAGGCCTGCCAGACCAACGTCAACCAGGCTTTCACCAACTCGGGTGAATCTTGGTAATATGCAGTAATTATGTTCTTCAACTAATGACAAGAACAGCACCTTGAGATAGAACCACTGCAGAAATTTGACAAAACGCCTATCAATGTGAAAGGAATGCCTACTACTGACAACATGCATGAGCATGTCAAAACATTGTAGATTTTTTTCACTTTTTCTAGCTTAACTCATTGCACAAGAAAGTACAAAAACATGGGCAAGTTTGACATTTTACTGCTCTAAGTAAATATGCTAACTCTAATTCAACTGCTAAAAAGAGATAAGCCGCTCATCAACTGGTTTTCATATATCAAAGTGTGAACATTTAATTTTGAATTTAAAAAAAAAACATTTTAAAATAACAAGTAAAAAAATCATTGTTTCTGAGCAGGTGATGTATAATTTTTAGGTCCCAGTTTAAAGTTTGATAAAATAAAAACACCAAACCAAAGAGTATGACAAACAATTGAGTGTGAAAATGATTATAATAAAACAAATAAAAAACGATAGAGTTCACTGGGACTGAATCAAATCAAGAATGTAACTACCGGAGTGGGGCCCTGTTCACAACAACAAATGAGGCACCTGTTAACCAGGGAATGGGGTGGCGCTATTTTAATTTTACCTCAAGTCTTAAAATGACTAGTTACCAAAATTTTTCTAAAAAACTACATTAGCCTCAAAGCTTTATTATTCTCTTTTCATCTATAATCACCCCACCCTTTACAAAAACTTTAACATTTATCAACATCAATATACCCCAATCACAAACAAGATCATTATTTTTTATAAAAACGTAACAGTATTTCCTACTCCATAATTACCAGCAGATATGTTAAAAAAATGTTAAACAAAAAAAAAAAAAAAAGTTGGGATGAAAAAAGTCGGTCCAAAAAGTTCTTACAACAGTTGCTACAAAATATACCCCAATCACAAACAAGATCATTATTTTTTATAAAAACGTAACAGTATTTCCTACTCCATAATTACCAGCAGATATGGTAAAAAAATGTTAAACAAAAAAAAAAAAAAAAAGTTGGGATGAAAAAAGTCGGTCCAAAAAGTTCTTACAACAGTTGCTACAATGACATCATAAACAGCTTTATTCAGGACAAAACTTGCCATCAGCACACTATGGCAAGTTTAGAAAAATAAAATATTAACAGCTGATTTCTGGATAAATAAAAGTTTACATAGAATTTCTAGCAAACTGATTCACAGTTATGATTGACAAAGTATATGAAGAATTCACAAACTAAACAAACAGGTTATTGGAGTATTGGTTAAAAAGAGAAAAAAAACAACCCAGTTTTAACATAAATAGATTTTAAAAATCATCACACTAATATAAACTTTGACGGATGGTCTCCACTTTTTTTTCTCCCTTTAATCCCTTATCTAAAGTAATCATTTCTCATCATCTCCCACCAGTTATTTCAAATTTTCAACTAGTACATGCTAATAGAGCAATACATCTCAATAGCCAAGTTACTAAGGCTGCCAAAAAAAGACCCCACTTTACTGCAAAGTGTAACTTCAAAAAATTGAAGTATCTGAAAAGTTGCATGAATTTCTTTCATTTCTCCCAATATAGCATCGTCTTATTTATGACTAGAATATATTTACTCAAGTACAATACCCATGATAAGCTTACAGATACCAAATCATTATTCACATTTGATAAACTGGTACTAAAAATATTCTTAAAGTTGTATAATGAGATTGCCATAATTTGTTACCCACATACTTTTGGCAAAATATAAACTGTGGTATTTTATGTTGTGTCCCTACTTCTGATATTAAGAGGTAGTTGGCAGCCCCGACTGTAACATGACTGTGAGAGACAAAAAGTTGATTCTAAAATTACAAAAACATTTATCTTGAAAAACAAATCGAATCACTATTACATACTCGCCACTAAATGCAGCAGAGAATAAAGATGTTCCCAAACAATTCTATTGCTATGTAGTATTATCACATTAATATATTTTCTTAAAGACCGATAAAAAAAAAAAAGGTTCAATCTGGAAAAAAAAAACAACATACAAAGAATAAATTTATTCTCCTGTTTCTTCTCTTTGACCATGTGTTTCCGCATGATCATCCACAACTCCATTAGGAGCTGGAAAATCTTCACTGTCTTCCAATCCAGCATAATCAGAGGCAGGCTCAGCAGCACCATCATCAGCATCCTCAGCCGGTTCCAGTTCAGGTTCTGGCAGATACTCCAGCTCAGTTTGTGGTGGAGGCTCCACCCAAGTCTCAGGTTCAAGCTCTGGTTCTGGTAATGGTGGTGCCAATTCTTCCTCTGGTACCTGCGTAAACAATAGGTAAACTTTTAAATCTGACATTTTACTCACACTCAATAGGTGTCTAGATGTACTGTATGAACTACTGACCAAATGTAAACAGACAGGTATTTAAATATTTACACTCAACTAAATGCAGAAGACAGCGGTCTGTATAATAACTAAATCAGCTCATTTAGGTCAGTAAAAGTGAAACAACAGAGTGAAAAACCCTTTAAAATGGTTGTTTGGATAAAATACTTGTAGAGATATGTGTACAAAGAAGAGATTATAATATGAAAGTACAGATAAAGAAGTGATTAGCCAGGATTGAACTCATCAAGTTGAAACCTTGCAGTAGGTAGCTGAACAATAAAAAGGATAAACTAAGTAGTGTTATTTAACTGCAAAGTTTGCTTCTGTGATTAAAATTTAAAAAATCAACTGAATAATTTGCTCTCCTCTAAATTGTTAAAGATAAACACTAAATAAAGACTAACAAAGAAATACAAGGAAAGTAAAAAAAAAAGTATTTTGGCATTCAAATGATTTTTTCATGTCATCGGGGTGGAAAATAATGGGAAATAATACCTCCATGAAGGCAGTACTAATTAATTTGGAATTTTTTTACAAAATCAGGGGGGAAAGTGTGGTTGAAAAGGGTTCAATGGGGTGGGTGGAGAGTTTTCTACTAGTACAAATATAAATATTTTGATGGTTGACTAAGGAAATATGAAATATGCATACTAATGTATATAACTACTTTCAACCTTCATTAGAATATGAAATTATAAATGTCCACTATAAATAAGCAGAATCTCCAGTTACTTCTTTTGGTTTGACCCTCTATATAAAATTATTAGTGAGAAAGTTTTGACTAAACTAAAAACCCTTTGGGGAAAATTGAGATTTAATTTATAAAATGTTATAGTCCCCAGCAAATCTTAAATTATTAGCTAATGGAAAGTTTTCTTGGTAACACATCACGTTTACAACTCTGATATAAATGATTAGAGACACAAGTAACTACACGGGGCACTGAGGGTTGCATGCATAAAATCTTCACTACACTTTTTAAGAGTTTCAGGATCCAAAAAATGTTTTTTTTTTCAAAATTAAAAGGGAAAAAAGGCAAATTTATATAATTACAACCGACTGCATCCTTTGCCAAATGGTTCCATTTCTAAAAACTAATATAATGTCAGAATACTACTCCAATAGTTTTTTTTAAAGAGGTCAATTTCTTACTATTGCTAATGAGCAATTCTGAAATAATTTGACCAAGGTAAAATATTATGAAATATAAAGAAGGGATATGTGAAAAACACAAGATTGGTAATGAGAAACTTGGTTGGTATTGACAATAGGGTTGAAGAAACAGTAAGTCAATGATTACAGAAACAATGAAAGCACAATATGATTGTAGTTTAAAGAAGGGCATATTATGTACATGTTGGAGTATGTGAGATTTCATGATATTAAACATCAAGAGAATTAATTAGAGTAGAGAACACTTATCAGTGAAACTACAGACCCAAAGATTCCTACAATAACTGATATAATTTACCAAACAAATCTTAATAGATGAAAAAAAAAATCATTTGATCAATATTGCTGGAATCTACTGATTAAATAACAGCACATGCATTTCACCCTGTGATTTTGTGAATAACTAAAATGGTGAACCTTTTTAATTTAAAAATACTTTTAGTCAACATAAAATAAAATGCATTTAAGAAGTTTTAAAGTTAAGAAGATACAAAAAGAGACTTATGGCACCAAGCAATGTGAAAACATATGCAACATCTTAAAATAAAAATGAGCAAGTACACCTTGTACCTAAAGAAATATTTGATTTGTATGGCATTTTATGTCACCTCACAGTAGTCCCTCCCTGGAAAAAAAGTATAAATTTAAGAACATAGTTTAAGCCATAAAACCGTCTTTATTTTTTTTGCACTGTGAACAGAGCATATAATAATTGTAACTGAACAGCGCTGTTTGCTCTCTTCTGGTTATAATTAAAAAAAAAACACCCTCCAAGACAGTTTTGAAAATTTCATTAATAAACTCCTTGAGATTAGATCTCACGTTTGCCAAGAACTAACTTTTTAAAATCTAAAATCATAACTGACAACAATATTATCCCATAACTCAACAACAATTGCTAAAACCCAATATATTTAAACAGGAAATTACCTCAGGAGCTTCAGTAATGCAAGTTTCATATCCAAATTTTAAAATTATTTTTCATTAGATTTAATTCATGACAATAATAAGCAGTGTATGATATTTAGCAGTAGCTGAATCAAAGAGAACAAATTTTGTATATGTTATCATAGAACCCAAAAATAACTTTTTATAAATAATTGAATACATATTAGTAATCCCATGTGATTTTGGGGTACGATTTTATTCATAGCCAGTGGTGAGCTGTGATAAACTTAATATAAAAAAAAGATATAAAGTGCAGCTAAAATTGATCTGTCTGCAAATTAATATATGCACAGAACATGTAAAATGTGTCATCTTAAATTAAAGTGTTGACAAAAATATACTTAAGTAGCAACACCAGTTTAACTGACCATTTAGAAACTGCCATACTGCACCCCCAGTGCCAATGCTTCTAACATGTTAACAAATGTCGTAACATCAGTGGCTCTACCTCGTATTGTATGTTTCAGTCTTAAATTCCTACTCTGTCCCTCTCCTTTTTGTCAAGTGCATGTTGCAATTTAATTATTCTTTAAACTCAAACCATGCCATGTTCACCACACTGAATAATTTTTAAATATCTTATATCATTATCTATATTTCCAATGGGTTCTTACAACAATTTTTTGACGATTTTTAAAAATATGTACAAATTAAATGATTTCACTAAAGCTCACCACTGTTCATAACATATTGATAAGCGTTGATAGACAAATTAAATTTAATCTCTGCCAGTGTATTTTAAATAGAACTATACTAATGAGGTGTAGGCTACATAAATCTATGGTGCATGAAGATGCATAACTCTATGCACAAAAATGCTATATGGAACACTCCTATTGCAAATTATTTATTTGATCTATGTGAAATACTGCTACCAGACTTCAGAGATACAATATTACATTATATGTCATTTAACTTTTGTACAGGCTAATAATACTAGTCACTTTGTGAATGGCACACTTTCATTAGTCAAAGGTGCTGAGTAAGGTTGTAATTTACTATTTTTTTAATGTTATATGGCAATATTGTACTATTCTTTGCTACTTGTATAATAATTGTATAGAAAAATTTTGCTTTAACAATATTTAAATGCCATTTTAGCAGATGCACTAGAACTCTCATTGGTTACCTTTATAATACTACAAATACCAATAATACTTTTGAATAAATTATTATGATAGTAACACAGTGAAGACTTAGATCCCATATAGCAACTACAACAAAACTCAAATTTACAATGTTCATTTAATTGAGTAAATAAGCCAACAATTTGTTTTATAATTCATTAGCACAATGAAAGAGAATCTTGTACTGAAATAATAGTGTTATTTCTTGTATTGGAAATGATCTAAACCATATCTTTGTAAGAAATAACCTAAATTAATAAAAGTCTGGTACAGACTTTATTCAAGCAATTATCAAAATGACAAGCAAAAAAGGAAAGGAATACCAACACAACAAAGCTAAAAACATTTCAAAGTTAGAATGTCAACGTTCAGGTAGGAGAAATCTAAGTTGCCTCTGTCAAATGGGGATGCAAGCATGCCAGGTAATGGATGCACTCCTAAACTGAGATCAGCAGGAAGTAAAAATAGGTCTGCAAAAAGCTGAGCCCCTGAAAGCAAGTCATCTGAAGAGAACTCTCTCTCTCTCTCTAGCTTTGTGACTCAATCTCTTCAGATCACAAATGTTATTCCCATTTTTAGACTTGATAATTATTTCATAGAACACCAAACAATCATAATAAAGCAAACAATCATAATAAAGTAAACAATCATAAAAAGCAAACAATCATAATAAAGGAAACAATCATAAAAAGCAAACAATCATAATAAAGCAAACATGTCCAATTATACCACATAAAACAATATTTGAGAAATTTTAAATAACCCACAAAAAAAACAACAAAAAACAAAAAAAAACCATTAAAAAGTATGAACCAAGCATTGGATAATGTACTCAGGCAGTAGATGAGAGCACTTTGTAAAGGCTGGGGTTTGAAGTGGTTATTTATTTGCTTTCATCTAAGAGCTCTTTTAGTGTTAAGTAAGCAAGACTTGCTTTAGTCTTCACAAGAATCAATGAGACATATCAGCAACCTTATTAAAGAAGAACAATCAGTCAGGAAATAAAATACATGCCCAGAAGATTTACAATAACTAAGTAGCATTATTCAGGATAAAACTTCCCAGATTCAGGCAGGTATTAAGGATTTTTAGCTAATGGGTCAAATTTAACAAAAGGAGTTGACTTTAACATAAGAATACCATGTTAAAATATAGTACCATATCTTTAAAATTAGTTTCTTGCCTTTTTCAATTAAAAAAATAATAATTTTTTTTATATTTTTTTTATTTCTAATTTCTATATAAAGGGATATATTCTTTAATGATGATTTAAGGTTGGTTTGTCACTTCTGATGTATCAGCGACTTCCTTTCACTAATCCCTACATCGATTACCTTTCTTACTGACCATTGGTTACTTTTCAAAATTGTTTATTTTAAGTCCCCACCAGACTTCTCACACAAAGTCTCAATGAGAGAGTTTAGTTTTGTAAAGCAATTGATGCATAAAACAAAAAAGGCAGATCCTCTGGACTTATGCATCAAACATGTCCTCATTCAAGGTTAACTATCTCTTTGCTGAGATCATTTGCAAACAACTTTCACAATTAGTGTTTAGGAGGAGATTAAATCTAAATCTGAAATCAAAAAACTTTAATCAGAAATGATACTTTTTTTTTGAGGGCATGACTGTTAAGGGCTGTTGAGAATGTGTACAATATCAATAAATAAAAGAAAAAGCTTATACACAGAACCTTAACCCAATACAATAAATAAGTTATGCATACACATTTTTGTAACAATCATATGGTATGCTGACATAGGTTACCTTGTAAGGGTCTTAACTCTGAAACAAAGTCAAATGAAACACCTAATCAAAGATTCATAGAAACAAAATGAATAACATTTTCCCCATGATCTAAATTGCAAGTGTTTAAGGTCATTTCCCAACTATGTAACTAAAAGCCCTCCCTTTCACTGCAAATATATTTAAGCTCTAAAGAACAGCAACATAAGAGATTAAAAGTATAAATCTAAATTTAAAACCAGAATTAGTAGGCATCTGAATAAGCTGTTAAATCTACAGAACGACAGGATGAAATCTATCATCAATATTAAACAGAATATAATATGAATGGTTTGTATCTGCTGTGGATGGAAATACATGAATATAAAATCTACAATAAGAATTTGAACATTTTCTTATAAAGAATACAACTATTTTAATATTTTCATTAAATGCCCAACTTTTCTTTTGTTTGACAGGAAGTAATCTTTTTATATATTTCTGTGATTGCAATAAATCAGTACAGGGTCTATAACAACATGGAAGCTTATGGATCAGTTATTCCAAATGGCCCATTGTAAAATACTACACAAATAAATATCAAAACCAAATCATTTTATAAGTGATTGTTTCACAAGTTTTTTCTTATTTGCCCACCCTTCAAATAAATTTTTTAGGTTGTTTTGTGTTGATCATTTGTTTACAGCCTTTAAAAATTATTTATAATAATAGAAATAATGTAAAGCTTATGAAGCAAAGAAAATAATACTTCTACTGTTGTTGTTAGCATTCTCTATTTCATACCCCCTCCCTCCATCTCCGTCCCCAAATTGCCTTTCAATGGAATGAACAGATACACGCTGTAAATTATAATTTGTTATGGATGCAAAAAGTAAAACAGACTGACCTCTTCCACTGGCGGACTGCCATTGTCCACGCCATTTAAAATGCCTTCTGGGATATCCGTGGTGTATGAAAACTTCTCTAGGGTGGGTTTGGCTGCCCTTTTCCTGGGAGGACCACTAACTTTCTTTTCATAGTGAAAAACAATGTCTTGGTCAGAAGGCATTGTAGACTTGAAGGCATCCTGTTCATATGCATTTTTTAGATACCTCCAGACATAGGTAAATTCTTTAGGGATCTCAAAGTCACGATATGCCTTGATTAGAAACATAAGTTTACAATTAATGGAAAGACCATCCAAAGGAAAAAGTATACTATTTTTAAGATACACAATTCACTGAGACACAATTAATCCCCTTGTTTCCAGCCCTATATAAAAACAATTCAAACTTGGACCCTCAATCAAATATCACCCTTATGTTAAACAAACAGTTTTCATTTGGCTTCAATGATTTTATCACTAATTAGCTATTCCAAAGCTGGTGTAAGTCACAATGGTTGCTTAATTCTATATATATTAAATTTCATATAATTATTAGCGTATAGCTTAAGCATTGTAACTTAGAACTTTATTTGATTGCTTATTTACAATAACTCACTTTGCCAGCTACTCGAATGTGCTGTAACCTCGGCAACAGGTGACAATCAGAGAAAGAAAGTACATTGTCAACCAAGAACTTTGTGTCTTGGCCTTCCAGGTATTCATTGAGTTTCTTTAATTCCCCAATGAGACCCTTTTCTGACTGACCTGATATGAAGTGATTAAAGTGCTGAAACAAAGAATAAAGAATTAATCAAAGTTAAATGGCGTAAAAATTGACAAATAAATATCAACGTTGCCACAGAATAAGTTTAAGATGAAATAAGATATATTCCAACCTATATCAATCACAAATCACATCCTCTTTACTTTCTCCTAACTAACCTCTCCAACCACTAACACCCCCCTCCCCACAGACCTCCTCTATGAGCTTCCATAAACCCATTCAATCACCCACTTGCCAGCTTACCATTCAGCTATATCCTGTCAATCTATACAAATTTTACAAAATGAAAACTTGGTAAAATAGTTTGGAAATTTTACCAAAGGCTAATACAAGAAATTACTTTCTTCCATTTAGGTACTTAATAATGCCTTATGTTTTATTTCCTGATTCACCTTACAAATAATTTAAAATATACTGAACTAAGCTGGGTTAACCTAAATTAGGAAAAATTACATTTATGGCATGCGATTGTTTCTTTTCAATCCAACAAAGTTACTGGCATCTTTAAAAAGGTGACATTAAAAAAAAATTGGTGCAACTTATAAATGTGTGTAACCAAAACTGTGGCTAAAAATGTAAAGATAATGAGGGAATATTTTATGTTTTAATGACATATTTCTATTACTTTTAAATACAAATAACATGATCATGGTCTGATGTAATTAGACCCACACCCCTTCCTGAGTTTCCAATAGAACCCCAACAATCTGTCAGATGCTAAATATATGACAAGGATATTTCAGTAAGGTATTGATGGTACATAAATGACTAAATGGAAATTGTGTTCAATGTTTTTATTAAAGAAAAAAAATAGTCTTCAGTCCATAAACATAGCCCCCCAAAAATATATTGAATTTCTGGGGTTTGGATGGAATGGAAAAATAAATTTGGTTGTTTAGTTATGATCCAATTCAAAAGTTTAGTCTTGATATTCTCTTATCTCCCCCATATATTTCAACTAACTCAAGAATCACCAAGCCAGTAGCCACTAGTAACACTATTTTATGTTTGTTAAGTGGTTCCATTATGCATTTTTAGATTGTTCATGAACCCAGGCCCACAAACAATCTGGTCAGGCCTAAACCAGGTGAGAACCTCAAGCAAGAAGCATAACTACTTAGTTTAGTCACACACTGATGATCAGTGAACCAAGACAGCCAATAAAGTACATAACACATGAACTTCCTGCAGGGGAGAGATATCTGTCAATTGATCTGTTTATAATTATAGTGCATACAAAAATGTAGCAACTTAAAACTGAGAGAATTTCCATAAAAACTAAAAGTTATTGGCTATTGGAGTTGAATAAGGCTTAGATACACAGTACCTCACTCAACTCGGGTCTAATAAATATCCATAACCATATTCATCAAAACAACTTGGAATTTATATAAATCATCAGGGTCAACCAATAGTGAAAAATTAAAAAAACTGAAACAAGGTCATCCCTTACTCTTACTACTTAAAACCCTTCAACCTTCAATGTTTCAACAAGTCCGCTAAAACAAAGAATATTTGTGTGCAATATGGCATGGGTCTATTATTCCATTTCATATTCTTCCTGATACCTTCTATTACTGCATTAGCCAATTGAACTGAACATTTAATTTTTTGTTTTTCTGCAGCAGCAGATTTGAGAATCCCTCATAATTTAATAAGCTGTATTCTGTTCATCTAATTTCAGCAGCATATCATGGGGGAAGTTGGATTTTTTAAAAATATTTCAAAATGATTAGAGTGAAAAAATTAGTCTTACTGAGGACCCCTCCCACTGAATACCAATACTAACTTGGTTGGGCACCCATGGATTACATGCTATGCGGACTATCTATCGGTTTCCATCACTGTGAATATCACATATCACCACCCAACAAAATGGCATTGGGAACAATGAAAGGTGTAACCGTTGACAGTGACAGAACTAACATGACATCCCAGGTAATGTTTTGCTCAGATTACCCATTTAACAAAGTGGCTCCTAGCCAAATAAAACCCCTGACCAGACCTAACTAGGTGGTAACATTTCATACAGAACTAGGTGGCCAGATTACACACCCTGTATAATAGGGCATGGTTACAGTGACTACAATAAGCAAATAATGTTGGTTTAAAAAAAGATCCCATATTCACCAGCAATATTCACTAGGCGTTCTATTGTTTAAAAAATAAAGTAATGGATCATTTCATATTAATACAGTGGCAACTAATAACTAACATCACTTCTCTCATTTGTCATGGTACAGGTAACAGTCCTAAAATCTTTAACACACAAACATGTACTTCAGTGCATGTAGTATACTTATGATAATAGGATATATTTGTAAACATACAACCATGCAAACACAATATACACTTGTAAACACAATATGGACATTAGTTTGGACCCCTAAAAAAAAATAATAATATTTATATAAATATATATTATTTAAATTACCCTTTTTTTTAAAAATGCACTTACTAAGGCCTTACATTTCAAAATAAATTTCTAGTAACTGTCTAGGGGAACTACTCATCCATGTTCATGATTCATGGTTAGCTCAAGTCCTGTAAGGGAACAAAGGGTATGCCTACACACTAGGCCTAGAAACAAATGGGTCCCATACATATGCCTCAGCCATACATTTCCCTCTACAGCTTTTAATGCAATTCAGCCCATTAACACCCCACCCACTCTCCTGCTTATGTCATATAATGTCTGTTTACTACTTTGAGTGACATACTCTTCCCACCTCCCCCCTCTGCTACTGCTATGTTGTCACCAGGACCCAGCAACTACAATGGATGACAACTTGAAGTCCCCCCAGAAATTCCCTGCCTGCTGGGGGGGTGGGGTCTCAAATGTACCACTACCACCTGTGTTTGTCTTGTGTGTGTGAATGACTCAGAGCACACTTGGTGACTGCAGTCTAATATAGGGCAATGATTGATGCATGCCATCATTTGAGACTTATGTTTGCACCCCTGCTTCTGCACAACCCAAGTGGCATTCTGTAAATGATTCTGGAGTAAATTAACAGGTCAATACTAATACTAGAAAGTGTGTCATTCTTGAGCGGTGTTGGCAACAGACAAGTAGTTACTAAGTTACAACATATTAGAAGCTCTTTTTCCAGCAGCTGACATAATATAATATGACCCGTAAAATAATTTAGATGTCAAGAATTAACACAAAAAAAAATACATCTTAAAAAAAAAAGCACCAACTACAAATAAAATAATTATCCATAATATTAAAACTTAATTTTGTTAACGTAACTTTTTTCCCCAGGTGAATTTTAACTTTATTTGACCAATGCTTAACTTTTAATAAAAAGAATGCTAATCCCAAATTAAAAGGCAAATCCCAGGTGGATAATCAAAGAGAAGCTGGGTCTAAATATAACTCTGGGTTAGCTAGCCCTTAATTGTGTCATAAAATTTCAACATGGTTCAAAGGATAATTGATAAAATTTTCATCATCTGATACATGTCTGTTGAAATTTTCACTAACTTTAGCCTTATTTATAAATGTGCAATTTTTTTTAAAAATCATGGCCATTGTATGGTTTTAATAGTCAAGTGTAGAAATATTACTAAATTGTTTAAAAAATTGAACAAGTAAAAAAATGATCCAGCATTTCTTACACCACCAATATTTAATATTTTGTTAAAAATAAATAACTCTAAATAGCAAAGAAAAATCCATACTCTGTTTATAAATAAATATGTCCCTTATCTTGATTTTTATTAACTTCTCAAAAGTCATCCGTGTGAAAGGGTCAGGCATATAGATAAGTAGGATTTTATCTGACACCTTATGAAATTGTCCTATAATTAAACAGTTTAATAGACAAAATCATATTTATCATAGAAGTTCCCATCCCATATCTTATCACTATCAGATTCAATTAAAAAAGGTGCCCAATATCTTTCAGACCTTCTTAAAACAGCATACCTGACCCTGATTGTGAAGGACATAAATCAGTTTTACTTACTCAGGAAGACATTTTGGTTAGCACTTGAATTTTTAATGTGACATGTTTCTTAAAGATAGCTAGCTTCAGATTTTCCTATCCCATTTACTGGTAGTACATGTGAATGTACAACAGGACTAATAACTTGGAGTACTGCAGTCCTTAATAGTCAATGAATGTATGGTCTTTCAGTAAATTTTCTGTTTAGCCATGCCATGAAAGAATAAATTAGTTTGCCACAAAATATGAGAACAGGACCCCATAACTTTAATTGAAGAAGCTAAACCCAAATTTTACAGTAAGGATTACAAGGTAAATCCAAGGCTGATCATCAAAGAGAAGCTGGGTTTAAATATAACTTTAGGATAGTTAGCCCTTAATTGTGTTATAACATTTCAACATGGTTCAATGCAGGTTGAAATGCAGATGATCTGATACATGTCTGTTGAAATCATCACTAACTTAGTAACTTAGCTTTTAAAAAAATAAATAATCATGCAATTTAAAAAAAAAATCATGGCTATTGTATGGTTTTAATATTCAAGAGTAGATATGACTGCCGATTTATGACTTCATCTTTCACAAAACATAATCCAGCAACAAATTTTCTCCAATAATTGTTATTCACTCACTGAAGGTCAATGACTGATTGACTCATCCTTTCTAGGACATTTCAAGACCATTGGTTTAACAGTTGCAATGACCTATTAATTTCATTCTCTCCTCTATAGATGCACATTTTTAATGGTGTACCAGTCAGCACATGATAACTAAAGACATTACTATACCTTTAAAGTTTTGGTTCCATTTTGCAAACTTAGCTCACAATTAAAAGGACTTAAAAGTAAGTACATGACAAAACAGTTTTGTATTTAATACTGGCAGATAATTTTCAATTACTCCATTTTCTCAAAATAAAGTGTGCACAATCTGGGTGATTGGATGCCCTAAAGAATTCACCCTTCTAATCTGACCATGATTTACTCCAATATCGCACTGTTCTTAAGGACATGTTACATCGCAACAGAAGTTATGGTTCCATAATAATATGCATCACTACAGTATTGAATAGATTAAAATGCCTATTGAGGTTAAACTTGTAACCAACTTTAAGCTCTGTAGTAACCAGAGATATGAACCAAACCATTTAAAACTAAAATTCCCAAAATAAAGCCATTAATATATTTTATTTATGTTAAAATGATTCTTTCTGGCCTCTTCTAATTTAAATACCTTTATATATATATTTTGAAATTATGACAGCAATGAATTAAAGCTTCCATGATTGGTATAGATCTTGGAGACTTGTACATTTATCTAGACCTCTTCCCCTAGCAAATATTTAATTTTAAAATATGTATACAAATAACATATCTTAATTTTATGTAATTAAGTTAAAAAAAGAAAAAAAAGAAACCAAAATAAAAGACAGAACATTAAAATTAACGAATGGGTATTAAACATAAAAAATATATATGTGACCCTAAAAAGCATTTATTGTTTGACTACTGTAGTTGTTTATTTTTAAAAACACCATTTTTAAAAAGAGATTGCACAGGGCTGTTCAATTTTTATCTCATTTCTTTTTATTTAAAAAAAAACAACACAAACTATATAGAGATAGTAAAGAGGGCAGTATACAGTGTGTTACAATGGATGGAAAAAATGTCACACTTTTATGTAATTTCCAGTGAGAAATGAATTTCTGGTCTCTTTTGTCTCAGTGCAGCGAGTCCTTTTCTATTTGTATCAGTTTTCTACCTTTTGCAGTATGCTAGCCTCAAAATTTTCAATGATGTTGCAACGTGCTGATGTCTACTTACTGATGCAACTTTTGAAGCAAAGCAGCTTGCCAATTAGATATTTAATATAAATGAGTGCAGTTCAGTGTTATTATTATTATAAGAATGCTTATTAGTGCTGGTTCAACTGTAAATAATGACTTTGAATACTTTTTATGTTATAAGTGTGAGAACTTGAGCAGGAGAGGGTTAAGCAGATAAACAGTAACAATATTTTAACATAAACAGAAGGAAAAAACAGTAACAATATTTTAACATAAACAGAAGGAAAATAGTGAATCTTACCTTATACACATTCTCAACAACTTGCATAGCAGCCTGATTTGGGGCATTTTTTCTTTTCAATTCTGGACACTCTCTGTTTATACTCTCAAAGAAGAGTTCCAGCTCTTCGAATGTATCATACATCATTCCACTAATGTCTTGGCCCATCTTGTTACGACCAGAGTTTACCATGATGACAGGGTATTTTTTGCTCCAACCAGCAGCAAAATTCTTTGGTGGGCAATCCGCCTGCACTGTGAAAACTTTAAAGTCTATATCATCCTGATTTTCTCCCAAAAGACAAGTTATCATAAAGAATTGTTGACAGATTGGACAAGATCCTTTTGTTTCTTTGTCAATAGCAGAAGCCTGAAATAAAAATAGTTATAGTTAGATAAATGTTTTGCTTTTATCCAACACTTTTAATTTACTGGCTTAATGTACTTTCATCAAAGCTTGTTTGGCCTAAAGAAAATATATAATTTTAAAAGAAACAAAAATTAGCAGCTTTCCTAATAAACAACATTTCTTTTGTGTATAATAATAATAATTTAAATAAAAAAAAAAAAAGAAATTCATTTTGTATTGGTACAGAAATTATCATCTATTATAACTACTGCATACAATACACACATATTTTAATAGTCAATTTGTGTTGTGTTATAAAAATGATATCACTTGGATTTCTGGAGTTATGTGCTTACTATAGGCATAGCAGATACCAAAATGATTCACCTGAAGCAGGCCTGCACAACTCAAAATGTAAGGCGAGCCGTAATACTTTATGAGAAACTTGTACGGGCCAAAAGAAAATAGGACAGAACTTGTGCAGGCCAAAAGTAAATCGGACAGGAGGGAAAGCTATTAAGAAAATAATAAGAATAAAGAATATTTCGTTACTTCGCGGGCCACAACGTATGTTGTGCAGGCCTGACCTAAAGCATTGAAATGCAGGAGAGTCAAAACTTCTGGTGAAAAATTACATATTTGGTTGAAAATTAGCTATATGAATTTTTAAAACTAGGATCTGATGATATCTTAGCTTCTGATTATGGGTTACAGGAAGCAATGTCAGTTTAGATTAAGTAAACACTGTTAAAAGATTAAATATTTATAGTAAAATAAAAAGGGTACCTAGAAAGTGAAAATTTATATACAACATAAGGATAAAAATAATATTTAACAATAGTGTGTATGAATTGAATTACTCCGCTAAATCACAGAACATGTCAGCATAATTTCTGAAGAGGGAAGCTCCCTCCCCCACTTTCAAGGTATTCAATTTTTAAAAAAAATTGTTGGGCAAGAAAAATTTGTATCAAATAAGTAATGGGCTCAAAGCCCTAAAACCTTTTTAAAATATGGAACTATAGTCAGAGGTATGACCTTGTAGGTAATTGTGTATTTAGTGGTACAGGTTTTGCCAAGAGTTTTCTCGGAATGAAATCACTTCGTGGAACCCCAAAACTGAAAGTGAATGGACCTGAAAGGTGTGTATGATAACTTTTCCGTTCTTTACTGAGCATTATTTGCGTCATAAACTAAATCTGGCGATTTGCAGTTAACTCTCTGTAGTCCAACTATAGAGAAATGGTATTTATTAGTATCATAGATTTTGTGGGTGGTTTATTTATTTTTTAACTTAATTTCTATTTAAAAAAATAATTATTATATTTTAATAATTTGTTTCATTGGTTAAAGTATATAAAAAAAATTAAAATTATTACAAAATTTGAAATTACTATAGAAATTTTTTTTTTTGAAACTTATTCAGCCCGGAGCATCCCTTGAAAGCTTCACAGATTTCAAAAAAAAAATTATTACTGTCATAAAATATTACTTACTATTATTAATATGGTCAAATGATTTTAATTTTACAATTTATCAACGATTTAAAGAAATGTACTCAAATGGCGACTCTGATCATGGAATTTATCCTGATTTACATATAAAAGTACCAACTAATGCTATTGTAAACAAGTAAGCTTAATTTTAATGATCATTTCCCGACTTCAAAATTCATAATAAAACAATGAATTCATATTTTTATAATTTTAATTGGCTGAAGTATATTTTATCCATTTACACTTATTTTGATAGATTTTATTTGAATTTTACTGAGTTTCAATAATTTTATAATTAAGAAATAGCTTGACTATGAGAGATAAATATTTTCTAAAAATAGCGGGAAAACTCCGGCTGATGGGAACTTGCATAATTAAAATAAATGTTAAGTTAAAAGTACTTCTGAGTTATTAACTAAATATATTTCTTTTAGATATGTTACTGCTATGAATCGTCTTCTAATTTTTCTAATATTGCATAGTAGAAATGTGTTTAAATTTAATTATCATTATCGCTAGTCACTCATATTAGTAGAGACTACAAGACAGAATAAAAAAACAAAACATTTATACTTTTATTAAAAGCTCATTGACTCCAATGGGAAGGAGGAGAGAGAAAAAAAATATGCAGATATTGGATCAAGAAGGCTTTATTCCTTATTCATGCTAAATATTAAGCCCGTACTCCAACCTTTTACTGTGTAACAGAGTTACAGGATGAATATCTTTGAAGATTTTACCCTAAAAACAACTGGTGGTAAGTTTATATCTAATCACTTGATAGCAAGATGTATAAAGAATAAAATCACAATTTGGTTATAACATTTTTTGTAATGTATTTTCAATGTACAATGGTTTAATTTTATACTAATTTAGGCATTTGGACTAGGATTAATGGTATTTTTCCCTTACTGATAGCATACCATTACTGATACCATTAGTGTTCATTTTATTTATGAATCAATCAAATTTTTATTTCACAGGTTCTTTCTGAGTTAATGTTCTGTGTTGAAAAATGTTACCTACTCTTATGTGAAAATCAAGCCCAGGACAAGCTGTTATTTGTGTATTACAATTATAATAATAAAAATGCATACTAGTTTTAAGAAATACTTGTTCAGTATCCATAAATAATAAATATAATTTAGGAATACTGTAGTTTGTTGGCTGTGTTATGTGAGGATTATAACAAAGATATATAAAAATACCGGCATATGGGAAAAGATAGATCAGATTAGTGAGGAATACATCGTATTGGGCATTAATATCAAAATAATTCTACCATTTTATTTTGATTATTTTTATAACAAAGATAATAAAATATACAAAAAATATTAAATGATAGCTGAGTCAAAGATGAACAAGTTGATAAATATAACTGATCAGATCAGAGCTATTGCAGATGAGATCATTTAATATTTTTAACAAATTGTAAAAAATAAATAACGTCTGACTGCAGAGAGTTAATATTGAATATATTAAAATAAAATTTTCCATTTGTTTTTAAAAATTAAAATTCAACTCATGGAAAGATCCATAGAGCCAACTAGGGTTTCTCACTTCCCTGGTTTTTTTGGGGACTTATCCAAGGAAATGGTAACAAAGTTTTTTTGCATTTAATTAAAAGTATATTTTAAACTGAATTTAACAATAAAAGTAAAAAGGGTAATTGTTTTTAGTTTTTAAATTGTTAAATGTCCATTAATGAATAAAAAACAATTTAAAGGTTGGTTGAGAGATGGTCACTTGCTACTAGTTGCTTCATTTTGCACTTCTTATCCCTAGTAATGAAAAACTAGGTAATATGTAGAAAAATCCCATAATTTTATGCGCTTTGCATTCTTTACAGGTTACAATATTCTGGTTTCCAATCTGGCTTTAATTATTTTACAAACAAATGTTTTGAATAATTTGTAACATGGGGTTGGTTTTGAATAAAAAACAATTAAAAATGTCATACATGTATCTGTAAATGGCTTACTATGTCGATTTTGGAAACTAAAAAAGCACTCCATAATCTTAAGGTACAGTAGTTTGACACATAAAATCTGGGATAATAAAGTTACTACAGCACATGTTTCCAGCCCATGGGAGGTGACCTTAAATGAGATTGTGAAGGGATTTATGTGGGGGTCACCATCTGAAATAAAGCAGACCTGTTAACCCCAAGGTTAGTGTCAGGGTAGTTTTCAGCTCTCAAAAATGTAGTTTGAAGCTCCAAGTAGTAGTTTGGTCAATAAGTGGAGAGAGGGGGGTTGGTGGGGTTAAATTAAAATGCAATGGGTTGTGTCAGAAAATCCATACAGCTGTTTATATTGTTATTATTGGCAAAACAAATATACAAATGCATGTACAATAAAAGTTATATTAATACTAGTACATCAAATATGTACAGACACACACAAAATTAAAGAGAGATTTAGACATCAGTTTGGTTTCTTAGGATGAGAAAGAGATTAAGACAAGCTCAAATGGCACTGACAGCACAGACTTGCTCAATCGAAACGCACATTAGAGCTGGTTGGGGTCAGCGTCCATCAAGCTACATGCTCTGTCAATAGCATTTAGTGGGCTGAATTACATACAAGAAGACATTCCAGTGTTCATGAGGACAAAGACTGCTTCTCAGAAACATTGGAATCATAGTCGAGATAATAAATGGGCCTGTCTTCATCCTGGATACTAGAGAATTTTCTGTTCTTGTTCTGCCATTTTCTCGATTTGTTGAGAGCATTTCATATCTCTAAAATATTCACACACAGTAACCTAAATAATAAAACACTAAAATGAAATTTTAAAAAATCCCTATCAGTCATCAGTATCCACATCTACATAAAATAAAAAATTCCTATTAATTAATAGCCAGATTTAGCCAGACTGCAGGTCTAAAATTATCAAGCATACTGCAGTGTGCAGAGCAGATAAAAATTAGACATCAATTGCAAAACTGAGTTACTTCCCTTTCCCAGTATAAAAAATGTAGCACTGCAGTTGGGAATGAGTTAATTGGCAGCTGAGGGTATTGTAACGTTGTAATAAGTATTGACCATAACTGTGTCATCTAAAATAAAAGAATCTGGTTGTCACATTGAGACTGCATCGAGGCTGTAAAGGCCAATGACTGACTGTCTTATTCGGATGCTTTTTTTTTTTTTGGTCCGCTAATTTTTAAAATAAAAATAGCAATTTAAAAAATTTCCTAAACCTTAATTTTTATAGTCTTGTCATCGTGTTGTAGTCTTAATTTATATAGTCTTGTCATCGTGTTGTAGTCTTCGCTTGAAAAATTAAAAGTAGGTTACTATGGCAAAAATGAATGAGTAAACATGTCTGCAATACACTTAAGAAAAATAGTGATTTTTAATAGTTTTCTTTTTTAAATTTATGTTTTAAAGTTTGAGCAACATTTTCAATCCTGAAATCAGCAATTAGTCTATATTATACTGGATAATTATGTTCTAGAATTTTTCCTTTCTAAGAATTTACCCTTTTAAAAACCCATTTTTCCAATGTATAGTGGTAATTAATTTAAGTGATTATGGTTGTCACTTCAAAAAGCTTGAGAACTTAAGTACTAGAAATATTAATTTAGTGCAGTTAATTAAATTTTACAGGTCATGGCTTCTAGAGCCAATTTATGATAATCTGTCACTTGCTGAAATTAAAAAAAAAACAAGAAAATTCTATTCTAAAACTAAAAGTGTTACCAGGATTGGGAAAATTGGGACTAGTATATCCTGGGAGAGAAACCCTACCACTAACCCAATCTTTACCTACAATCAGCACCCCTAGCCATATTCCATAATTAATTCTGGCCCCAAATTTGTATTCACTGAAAAGCTTATATGCCAGTGGACAAAATGTACATGTCCATTCAACAACCCCTTATAATGCCAAATTAAATTATGTCAGCCTGAGTCACCAAGTTGCCTAGTCGGAGTACAAGCCTAGGGCAGGGCCTAAACTCAATTCTTGCAATATTATACAATTTGAGCGATACTGCTCAAACTGCCAACGGAGAATAAAACTGAATTATGATGTCATTTTCAGTGGTTAGTCTTAATGCTGTTGGGAGGAAAAATGTAGTAAAACATTCATTTTAAAAAGTAAATAATTCTTTTAATTATTTTTCAGCCCTGCCCTCCATCAACTTCCGTAATCAGAAATTAAGTACATTATCAATGGAATGCATGTATCTAAATGCGGTAAAGTTCAAAATCCTAAACATATACTTTACTTACTTTGATATATAATTCGAATTTCTGCATTGCAGTTTCGGAATCACCGCCGTTAGCAGACATTTTGAACACTTTCAAAGCCGAATCAACGTCGGCGAAAATAAATAACAAACGTTTTCTTCTAATGACGCAAAGACCTCGCCCAAATTAACCTTGAATTGCGCATGCGCATGCCAGATATTATCTCATGAGAAGCCAAAACTATTTAATTCATTGTATGCCTACTTGTTCAATTATTGTAAGAAATATCGATTAATTAATTCTTCCCCTTGTTGTAAACCTGTTAACATTTTGAATGTTAAACACACACTATTTTGACGGTGAAGAAATAAACAAGGTGCACCGTCCCTCGAACGCATATGGCGCCGATTCCCTTGCACCGCGTGTAAGTAGCGTAGCCAGGGGTGGGGGGGGGGGGGGGGGGATTTTTTTTTTTAACGGAAGTGGTGGGGGCATTTCAAGAATCAAAACAACTATTTAAATTAACTGTTTACAAATTCTATTTATTTGCCCTGAAAATTTGAATGACATTAAAAGCGTAAATAACCTGGCCTCGGAAATTCCGGTAACAATCTGGCTTGCATCAGCACATCCCTGGATCCTTCCACTCGGACCGAGCTATGGCCTTTGGTCCCCACGCATGGACCCCAAACTCCGACTCCAATTCATCTATCCATCTTAGGGAATGAGCCGTCTACCACTTGGTTTCTGAAACCTTTATCCATCACAGCACAGCTAGATCCTTCACAGGTTTCCAGGCACACTACAATTAAAACGCAATTGATTTACTGTTGTATACATGCACCAACATTTTTTTATATTGAACAAGTCCATCTTTAATATCTTCAGGTTTCGCCCGAGTGATAATGGCGATAGGATCAAACGTATTCTCACTTATCATCCTTACAATCACATAGCCAAACATGCTTTCCTTTTTAAAAAACTTGCCATTCTCCTCTGACACCCACGACATTTTCTGTTCCCCTCGTCTCATTGTTTTCAGAAAAAATTAAAATATGAGAGGCCTTCTTGTGCGTTGTCGCATCCATACTGTCCTCTCCCACTTTGGGACTAAGCTCTGTGGACGCAGCCGTTGCAAAACTTGCCCTTTTGTCATCCATACTCAACACCAAGGGCAGTTTTTAGATAAGGAAAGGTTTCCTTTCTACTTGCCACAAGTTTGTCTACGCCATTGTTTTCACCCTGTCAGATGTAGTATCTAAGTGAGACTGGACAACACCTCTCTGACCGATGTTCTGAACACTTCCTTAAGATTACGCAATATCATCAGTGTCCCATTTCAAAACACTAGAATAGAAGCGACCATAAGGGTTCAGGGGATTTCGCTATCACCACCATTGTATCTTGTACAAACACACCAAACTGGGTGAACTTGGAAAACAAACTGATTAAGACTTATGGAACCTTGACACCACATGGCACGATTGTCATGTTCTCATTAACTTGTTAAATATTTTCTTCGCCCTCCTCATTATGACCATTCACAGTGAACTTACTTTTTCTCTCTTCCGTCCCATCTTGCCTGTATATAATCTCTCACCTACTTGTGTTCTGTCACATTCCTCTTTCTGTCCTATCGGATAATACATTGCAGCTATGTGTTTCCCAACACACACAAAAGTTAGAGGAAAAAACTGATAGTGTTGCTTACTATTCAGCTTGCATTGACATGAACATCCAGGGGTAAATGTAGGTCAAGAAGGGACAGTAACAGTGACATACAGAGAGGCCTGGAATCGGAATGACATGCAGCTTAAAATCAATGACACACAGATGGGCCTGGAATTGGAATGACAAGCAGCTTAAAATCAACTGGAATATGGTAGAGACTCCATAGATCTCAGGTTTAAAGCAAATATCTGGGTACCGGGTATTTAAAACCCAAAATAAAACCTGTGTTACTAAATGGAACAAAGGCCTGGAAAATGTTTCATTTTAGGAAAAATGAAATAAAATTGTTAAAAAAAGAGATGATCGATTAAAATATTGTGCATTTCTTTTTAAATAAAAAAAAAAAAAATCTATCAAATGAAATTTTCATTCAACTATTTTAATTTGGTTACTTTTCTTCTTTAAAAAATAAATTACTAGAGCTCAAAGCACCACGAAGACTGATATGCCTCAGGAAAACCCCCAGCTCTGAGATCCAGTCTAAAGGCCAGCTAATTTGACTTAGGTTAGATTAACTTAGTGATTAATTAAATAAGAGCAAACTATAACAACTCAATTAATTACATTTAAGTACCGTAACACTAGAAGTAAGCTATACAATACAAGTTAATAAAAAAGCAACAACAATATTCCAATCTTCAAAATTGTGCAGATTTTTTAATGTTCATAATCAAAGTCTTCTCGTCTACAATCCAAATGTATTGAACACAAAAATATATATATGGACTAATAAACAATTTTGGAACTGTCCTGTCAAATCAGGGACCAAAGATCAATTCATTCAATAATCCATATTATTCATGTCTGTCTCTTTGATTTAAAATAATGATCCTGATGGTTGTCTCAACATATTTTACTATCAAGTGGGAAATTAATTCAGTTAATGATATAAGAATTAAATCAGTTAGTGATATAAGCTTTAACTGTGTTAATGGTATAAGCTGCCTTAGTTGATCTAGATCTCCCCTTCAGAGATAGATATCCTTTCAAGAAATTTATAAATAATACAAGTTGTAGAAATGATGGGTCAAATAATAATGTATGGAAAACTTCAAAAGGGAAATAGATCACCATTCCACTGTGGAATAATTTCCTGTTTTGATGCTGTGCTCAAGAAATCAGGCTGCATTGTTTCACAAGCTCTGGATAAATCAAGGTGAATCATTTCACAAGCTCTGGATAAACCAAAAAATATTCTAACACTATCATCACATTTAATATTGTGGTGCATGAGAATATCTCAAAAAACAAGGTTTGATAATTCTTCAAACTATATGGCAGAGATAAATGTCTGTGTTTGGTAGGCACTCAGTAAAATGAGATAATGTTTTGAAGTCTATCACTTTACTACGAGGTCTTTAACATCTTTTAAACAGGTTACATCCAAAGACAGGAGAAGATCTTTGTGTGATAAATACCATCCATAGCTTGATGTTGCTCTTCCACTTTGTAATTTCCTGAGAAAAATGAAATAATTACTAGGCTTGGATTAAATATGAATGCATTTAGAAAAACATAAATTAAAAAAAAAGGTCAGATTTCTTAAAACTTTAATCTTGTGTTTAAATGCAAAATAAAGAGGTTAATTACATTCAATTTTTATTAGTAAACTTTTTTCATTTCCTTATTTTCATCTTTACAATTATGTATAATGGCATGCACAGCATTTTAAACAATGAGTTTAATTATTGAATTCAAACTAATTAACTGTAAAACATCTCCCAATTAGTATAATTACAAGGGCAGTAATTACAATACATTAACTCATTACTTGATTTCTCTCTGCTTTAAATCAATCAAATCCTGTAGTTCCTTTTTAGATGTGTTAAGGTTGAGTCCCCTCCCTTCAAGCCATTTTCTTGAAACTTGCTCCTTCTGGCTACTGCTCTGATCTCTCAGCACAAGAGTTCTTAAATAATTAGCATGAATATTGTCTGTAGAAAGGATAAAATAGGAAGACAGAAATTTTGAAGTTCTTAAGAATTTTTGACATGTTTGTCACCATTAATTATTTTTAGTTGCAATAGAGCGTACCCCCTAAAATATTTTTTTCTTTCTAGTTTTGTTACTCTGTTTAGTACCATTTTCTATACCAACATATTGTAAATCAATAGATTCAGAGATGAATAACTTATCAAATTATGTCAAATAATGTATCCCTGATAGTGATAATTTTGAAACCTGTTCTTTTTCAAGAATGTTTTTACAGAACCAGTTTTGTAAAAAAAAATAATGAATATTTTGCACCCTACAAGTGACCAAAAAACATATTCTGAAATAATATTAAATCATTGTTAAAGGTGTTAATGCCATTCATGTTTTAGAATATACTCTATTTCCTAAAGATTTCATCAAATTTTTTTAATAGTAACATACTATACAAGTAACATACGGTAAAAGTAAAAATAATATAAAAATTCATCAATCATTTAGAAGAAAATATAAACGACTATATCTAATTTTATATTTCTCAAGAAGATTCTTTTTTCCTAATTTTATGGAGTGCAACTTTCAGTCACATGAGATCAACCTAATCTGATGTGGTTAGTTTCATTTATTGCATTTGCCTATGCCTGACTTAAACACGTTAAATTGACAGAAAATTTGTGATACTATCTGACATTTCTCCGAACAAATCAATCAAATTTGACTTGTTGTGGGCTATAAATTATTTTGATGACATTAAAAAAAACTGTAAATGAACAGTGATTGAATTTTTTATAATGTTCAGAGACTAATATTTATATAGATGACAAAACTACATCTACCTGGTTCCAATTGCAAAATTAGTTGACAACAGTTTATAACTGATAAATACTGCTTTCTCTTCAATGAAACTTTGGCCATCCTGACACAAAGACTGACCATAAGCTGTGACCAGGTTGAGTTTTTACATAAACAAAATACATCTTGTGTTTCATCAGAGAATGTAGTTTTAGACTTGTTCAGAATATCTGCTTCTTCGCCAAGACGTCTTCGTTTCTGTAAAGGCTCTTCTGTAGCATGGTCTACAGGTTCAGTGTCAGATTTGATGTCACACTTGTTTGAGCTTGAAAGCAGGTTGTATGCTCTAAAAAAAACACACAAAAAACAAGATAAGTTGAATGTAGCATTGAACACTCATCATGTCAATCAAGTTTTTTATTTACAGCACAATGTCAATGAAGAACAGTAGAAATTATGTCTTGAAGCCCATGAGTTGGAGTTTTTGTTTTAAAATTAATAAATATAAAAGTATAGAATCCAACTTGAATAAAAGACAGCACTCACTTAAGTAAACAGGCCATAGTTACATCTGTATAGCCCTCAGTAACCACCAGAGCATCTGTTTTGGCCAAAAGAAGTCTTATGGCAGCTGTCTGTGATGCAAACAGATCTGAACCTAGGGGATCATCTATTTCACCTGGCCCAGTGTTAACTGATACAGATCTCACTCTTTTCCTTGATATTTTACACAATTTATCAACAAATCCTGGAGTTAATGCATAATCCTTTAATATTTCAGGTGGAGCTTTATCCATATTTTCTGATATTTTATCAAAGCTAGAATTCGGCACATCAGAGTTTTGTGATGAACTAAAGAGACTGGGTTGAGAACTATTACTATAATCATCAGCTTGTTTAAAAACACTATCAGAGTTATTCCCCAAAGCTTCCTGTGCTAAGCTGTGAGCCATCTGGCAGTGACTGGAGTCTGTGATGAAACAAGGGTAGAACTTATCACAGAAAGAGATGCACTCGGAATGTTTGTGAGACATTACAAGAGCTTCTGCTGTTTCCACCACAATATCGCAAACATCCAAATGACCATTAACACTGTTTGATACCTGTCAACAAAAATATTTGAACCTCAAAAAAAAAGTGATTCAGTTTCAAACTTTTTCAAATGAGATGAATCATTTCCATATTTTAAATAATAGTATATAAAATTAATGAGATTCATAAATAAGAATATTTTAAAAAAATTTTTTTTTGAATTTAAGTATTTACAAAATATATATATATTTATTAAAATTAATGGTTTCCAGCTTGCTATGTTATAGTTTTAATTACTATCTCAAATTTAAAAGAAAACAAAACAAAAAAAGCATACATAAAACATTTTCTTTTTACAAACATTAGAATTTAAATCTGTGTGTTCTAAAAAGCGCAACAATGCAAAATACTGCTCCTCCGACTCTTTGTACCTGTGAACAAAGAGAGAAATTGATGTTGAAACACCTTTCACCCATTTATGACATCTAAACAAGAACAACAAGCAAATGAAACTCTTATCCTAAATGCTATTTTTGGCACCTTTGAATTCATTTCAAACTTGCTGATATAAAATAGACTTTTTCACTATATATAAATGTGTATGCAGGTTTGAGAAGCACAATTTATGAACAACAGAAAAAAAACAACAGTAGAGAGTCTTTATCTGCAGCCAAATTAATAAAAATGGATGCAGGAAGACAGAGGAAAAAGACAAGCATAAGGTTGGAGGTTAACAATAATGCCACTTTACTTTTGAAGTTGATAACAACGTTTGGCAAAGTGATGCATAGCATTGAGGAGTGATACTTCTGGCAGTATGTCAAACACACAAGCAACCATTTGATCAAATCCATTTACAGGAAAACGTGGTCCCAGATGTTGATCCATCAGAACCTAAAGTCAGAAAACAACTCTTAAGGGATAACAAGTGGAGAATGAGTCAAATCAAGGTTATTTTAAAGCAATCTATTTAAGAGGTGGTTAAAATCTATGTTCAGACTAAATTTAGAAGAATTAAAACATACAATTCTTTGTTAACCACGAGTGATGTATCTATGTAAATACACTATCGTGTATTGAGATCGATCTAAATGTGTCTTGGATACATCTGTACGGTATACAAAGATGTTTAATATGAAAGTGACTTACAGCTTACAACTTTATTAAATATTATCTGTTTATGTACAGTAATAAAAATAGTAGTTGCATTCATTTACTAATCCATCTTGAAAATATGAAATAAATTACTTCTTCCATTACCTAGCTTTTCAATTTTTGTGTGTGTATAACTACCTATTTTACTGGGATAAAGGTGTATGTGGCTATGGGAATTACTAAATGTGCTATATGATTAACTACTGTGAAACTACAGAATGTGAATAAAACTTTTTTATTTTTTTTATTTTTAGCGTTTGATTTTTTATTACTAGGAAATAAAATTTAAAAAATAAGTTTAAAAAAGAAAATATATTGTAAGAAAAAAGGATATTTTAAACAAATTGTTTACCTTGACAAGTAAATTCAGAGATTCTAGTTCATATTCTTCAAGACCTAATGTCCGATAAACAGATGCCATTAGATAAAATATATAACAGTTCTCTCTGTTGACATTTAAAGCTTCTTTGTAGGTCAGTAAAGCCAACTGATGATGGGCCTGACAAGTAAAATACAGTAAATAAATACAGATGGGTATAAATTCCAAATGCTGTGTTTCATCTATGACAAACTGATAATATAGTGATACAGTACAAACACCCAAAACTCCTCTTAACTTGTTTGTTTAAATTGTACCCAGTATGTTAAAGTGCAACTGACCTCTAATGAATGACACTCAGCCATCAAACATAAAAGTGTAGATCTGGGTCCTGGATCCAACATTGTGTTCAGTGTAGCCAAAATCCTCTGCATTGCCAGGGAATATTTCTTCTCTTCTATTAAGTTTTGGCCTTGGTAAAAATTGTAACAATAATAAATATTTTTCTTTCAGGTACCGGTAAGTTGAATGGAGTTTTATTTTATCTATTAGTTATATCTTGCCAAACATTGGCAGAGGCAATACATGAAATTCCCACCTACTAAAATTACTTGACAAAACATGCATTAAAGTAATGCACGTTATAAGAATCCCAATTAGTGACCCCCCACCCCCCCAAACCCGGTATGCCACCAAAAAAATTAATATTTTAATTCCCCCCCCCCCCCCTCTTTTACTCTACATATTTATTACATCCTATTTAAATTTAGAATATTTCCATAAAACAAAATAAAATATTATGCACCAAATGCACAGGCTATTTTTTAAGAATCTCATTTAGTGCAGCTTTGAGAATTTTAGTTTGCAAGTTATTGAGCTCACAATTGCTACATACTTTTCTTCATACATAGAGAATTAATTAATTGATTTTATATTTTTATAAAAGCCTAAAAGAAATTTTTCGAAATACAAATTGTCATGTTTTTATATTTTTTCAAATTAAAGATAATAATGAAGAATTTCATATAATTAAATACTATCAACAGTTAAGGGCCGGGCCATTAATAGCCCAAGTCCTGGCAGCTTCAACAATTCTTACAAATACAAACTGTGTGCAGCCACTCCCACTTGTCATACTTTAGTGTGGTGTCATCTTTACTAAGTTTGCATGAAGCTAGTACAAGCTTAGTAATATCATCAACACTAGGACAATCCTCCACACTGTTGCCATCAGGAATCTTGCATAAAATCAGATCATGTTGAAGAAGCAGCCATTCCTAGAGCAAAGATTTATTCACTCTGTATATTCAATTAAATTTTGTTGAAATAAAAAAAATAATAATTCTACCCCTAAGTCTTTTTAAAAAAGCAAAATGATTTTATCAAAATGATAAAATTAATTCCATATCTGAATTCATAATATGAAGGCATTTTCAGTCCATTTCAAATTCAACACAACACTAAAAATACTAAAATAATTTTTTTTTTCATAACCTAATTTAGCTTATAGAAATGTGGATTCATACACATGAAAGATATACAGGCTTACTTGCAAACCAAAGGAATAAACATTAAGTAATAGAACATTAGTAAGCAAGTCTTGAGCAAATCTCTGAATTGTAATGAAGAAAATGAGTTAATATAAATCATTCTTTTTTTATGGATCAAAACATTATTAGGCCACAGTGGCAAGTAAAATGCACAAAGCAAGATTTCACCCAAAATTTATTTAGCTTTATATATGATCTAATCAAAATGTTTATATTTGTAACTATTTGTGACTACCCCTTTCCCCAACCTTTTGTTGACTCTGGGTATATAATCTTGCTATGCCAGCCTATTATGTGTCATGTTTAGGGAGATTTCACTGAGAGTTTTTTCCCCCCACCTTCCCCAGTTATTGTTTTTTCTGGAACAGCCAATGAAAATACATAATAATAATAATTAGTGGTCTTTTATAGGGCGGTACCCCAGCCTAGGGCTGGGCTCATCGCGCTGTACATAAAATATTATCAAAAGAGACATAATCATGATATTAAAATAAAATAAAATACAATTATGAAATAAAGAACAGCATGAAACCCAGGACTTTTACAAGGCAAACCATGGATGGCAGCCAACAAGATCATTTATTCCGTCAGAGGAGGGGAATCAGTCAGGGTAGTATAGTTTAAAGTGATGTGTTTTGAGTGCAGTTTTGAATGCCTGGGTGGTTGGTATATTGCGGATGTGTAGTGGCAAAGAATTCCATTATTTGGGGGCGCAGAAAAAGAAAGATCGTTCACCAGATGTTTTAGTGTGTGTCTTGGGAATGGACAGAATACGCTTGTCTGCAGAGGAGCGAAGCTGTCGAAGGGGTGAATAGACAGAAAGAAATTCGGTTAGATAGGAAGGGCAGGAAAAATATATCATATATATATATATATTTAAATTTAAAAGACTAATATACTGATTATAGTTATGTATTTTATATAAAACCAAAACAAAGATAAACCCTGATGAAAAGTGTATTCAGATTTACTGACGTGCATGGTTGACTGAGGCAGCAGCTCCTTCAGGGAAACAAGAATACACAAGGCTTCTTTTATTTTATGCTCATTATTTTGCTGCTTTCTGTAGAGACACCACAGGCTACTCAAGATCAGCAAGCGTCCAAGAATTGAGAGCACTGGGAAGAATATATTTTAAAAATATTCATCAAGCTTTTCTACAAATTGACATGAAACATATCATTTTTGGTCTTCGGCCCCACCATGTTAATGTCAAAACTGGTCAAGAACTTTGTAAAAATGCTTGTGCTATAGACCCCTTTGCAGTTTGGTGTATCATATGTATTCCAAAATATTTAATATTTGTTTGACAATCATAAAGAAGAAGAAAATGTGTTTTTTACAGGTTGATTGAACCCTGATAATATTTTCATGGAATAAATAAGGGAACACCGACTCTGAATTAAGAAACCTAGTACATCAGACTTTTGTTTGCAATTATTTTGAGTTGTCTGTGTAAAAAGAAAACTTCCTGAATTGTGAAATCTTTTATACCAGAATTCTGAAGTGCAAGTAAAATTAATACTTTTTTTTCTTCATTAAATCTCAAAAATGGTATTTAGAATACAATATTTATCAGTAAAAAATTAGTCTAAAACTTACATTTGAATTTATTTAAAGGATCCTTTAAGGTCTCAGAAAGTTTTATAAATTTTGTCTCAATACTTGAATTTGTGTCGCAAAGAGTTTTTTTCTCACCTTGGCTTGCCAACTTTAAAACTGACAGATTAGAATAAATCACATGTTACAAACTAGAAATATTCTTGAGACATTTAACAAATTATAAAAAATTTAAAAAGTATACATAAATATATTTAATATTATTTAAAAACTAGTAATGACCTTTCAAAAAGGAGATACATAGAAGATCTTTTTGGAATAAAAGTATACATTCTTTTTTACATTTAAATATTATATAAAGTGTGATATTCCTTTTATACAAGCACTTTTAAAATGAAATGGTAAATTTCATATTGAATTTAAATCAGCACTAGGTCAAAAGGCATGTTGAGCCATTATCTTTGTTAAAATAATACCAGAGTCATATACAAGTACAATGTGAATGAAACTAATTATGCACCCAAACAAAAGATTACTTTGAAATAACTAAAGGAATATGAGTGTAATTTATTCCTTGAAGCCAACAATAATAATTTATTAGAAGTTAAAGTATTTGATCATGTAAATACATATTGAAAGCATAAGAATATTTAAATTAAAATAAAATATAAGTCACTTTAAAAGTGTATGCTTGTGACCTAAACCTTGGTGTAGGCCAACATGGTGTAATGTTATTCAAGTATTGATGAGGAAATAAGTTAGATGATTAATAAGCAGCTTAAAAGGGTTGAATACTATGACCCAAATAAATCATTTGAAGATTCCAATGTATATTAAATTCATCACATTGTATGATAAAATTCAACAAACACTTCCTTGTTATAATTTAAGTCTCTAATGCAGTCAGCATTAATAGCAATATTTATTCACATATAACATCATCTCAGACCTCTATCCAGAGTTGTAGATATTAAATCATCAGGTAACCATGTAAATGCTGAGTTGGAAACACTGAGGACTTTCAACATGATGCTTATGATTAGGTAATTGCAGCACATTGTAAGTTCCAGGAACAAATTATCATTTGATGGCAACCAGACTGTAAAACACATAAAAATAGTAGAATAAATAAATATTGTATCTGTAAAAATAATGTAAAAAGTATAAAACTTCAATTTTTACACTTGCAAATCTCAATATTCTACATAACCGGTACAATTTTTTAAAAATTACTGTAATTAATTCCAGACATACCTCTCAGCTCAGTAATTAATTTCAAACTGTCTTTAAGATGTTGTGAAATGCTTGAATTCTCTACTGTATGCGAGTCTCTGATCTTTGCCTGTTGAATAGATATTTTACATTGATTGTATACAGCAGGGTCTCCAAACTATGGCCCGCAGGCCACATGCGGCCCGCGAAGCCCTCTCATGCGGCCCGTGGAGACCTTTTTGTCTACGGAAAAAATTACGGAAATTTACGTGCATCCTGCCAAGATCAGCCGCCGCTTACATTATGGTTATGACTTTATGACATTATGATTTTACCGAATTAAAATAGAGGCGTGCAGTAGAGCGTTATGTTTTCTAACCGATCACTAAATTGCAAAACCATTATTCCCTGCTTAGTTTTCCTACTTCCGTTCACAGTCAATGAGATGATATAACGTCATCTAGTGGCGGAGCTTTGCCCGCCGTGTTGCAGACATGGGCGAAAACATTGAGACTCTAATAGCAAAAAATGCAAGCAAGTTTTGCCAATTTTTAATTGCAATGGATGAATCTCTGGTCAGCTGTTCCACCTCTCAAATGCTTGTATTCGTTAAAGGTGTGCATGAAGACATGAACATAACACAAGAGCTGGCTTCTCTACATAGCATGTACGGAACTGTTACTGGAGAGGATATATCCAATGAGTTGAAAAAAACATTTGCTGATTATAACTTGGACTGGACTAACCTCAGTTGTCCAACTCTGATGAAGGAAAGAACATGAGTGACATAAAGAAATCCTTGGTGGACAAGTGAAACAGATGTGTAGTGAGAAAAAAATTCTGCAACCAATGTTCCTGCACTGTCTTATTCACCAGAAAGCTTTGTGAGCTAAATATGTGGACATTGGCAGTGTACTGAATCCTGTGGTGAAAAGGGTTAATTTAATAAGGTCACATGGGCTCAACCATAGGCACTTCAGAGACCTGTTGAAAGATGCAGATACAGAATCGCAAGATTTACCATAATAAGATGGCTAAGTTGTGAAGAAGTTCTGAGCATTGTAAGAAAGGAAATAGGTGACTTCCTGGAAAGTAAAGGCAACCCACAGGCATTACTGTCTGATGAAGAGTGGGTATGGAAATTGGCCTTTGCTGCAGACATAGCTGGTCATTTAAATTTTCTGAACTTAAAACTACAAGGAGAGGAAAATCTAGTTTCTTATCTATAAACCCACCTAAAGGCCTTCAGATCCAAATCCGTTTTTTGGAACAAGTACAGGCTAACAACTTGACACACTTTCAGCATTGGAGGGTCTTCATGGCTGAAGCAACAGCGGAGTTCTCCACGTCATTTGCATGCGAGATCATCAAAGACCTCCAGCTGCAGTTTCAGCAGCGGTTTTATGACTTGGATTCAAAGGCAGAAGAAGTGAGACTTTTTCAAAACCCATTTGAAGTAGATGTGGCCAGTTGCCCAGATGAACTGCACCTGGAGGTCATCGAGTTACAAGCAAATGTCCTTCTTAGGGACAAGTTAAAAGAAGGACTGGTGGGTTTTTAACTAGACTTTCCTAATTTCAAAACTTTCGCATCAATGTACCTTTCAATCTTTGGAACAACATTCCTGTGTCAACAAACATTTTTCAAGAACGAAATATGAGAAGAACAATTTGAGAACAAATTTGTCCGACAATAATCTCAGGTCACTGTTGATGCTATGGACATCAAATCTATTTCCAAAAATGTCTGCTAATCACTACTATTTTAGCATCCAGGAAACAATCACCATTCCCACTAATACAGGTGTTCATGTGTCGTGTATCAATGTGTTATTAAAAAATAACTGAATGAAATAATATTACATAAATAATTAAAAACAACATCCATGTTTTGATTCTTTTTTATTTGGACCTCGAGTGTGTAGCCGGCCCCCCAACTGCTGTTTGATAGTTAATGCGGACCTTGGGCTGAAAGGTTTGGAGACCCCTGGTATACAGCAAAGGCAAAAATTGTTAAATAATAGCTGACTTATATAGTGCATTATTTATGAGCTACAGTATCAGAAGAGTACTAAGGTGTGGACATCAAATTTCCAAATGTTTGTTTATCTGGACTTGTATCTTGTGACCAAGAAATGTACCATGTATATTTGGCAATGGAATGTAAAATCAGGTTTTCCACAAGACAAAAAGAGTAACACCATCATTCATAGACATAGTAAAATGATCTTGCACAAAAGTGTGGGGAAGTAAATGAAATTTCAGCAGCAACTTAAGACGAGGTAATTGGTAAGACTAAACTATTTGTTGATCGATAGATGATTTTTAAATTATTAAATCCAAGATAAGTATTCCAACTTCAATGGTTCAGGCAGATGAAAACTTAAGTCAAACTGACAAGACTTGGGGCGAGCGACCAAGCTCATCTTATCATTGTCATCTGTATTATTATTCTATGTAGGCTAATTTCAATCAAATGTTGACTATATTTATAGCCTATGCCTATACTTATACTATAGCTTATTAAAATACTGATCCCTAATATAGTAATCAAAGTAGGCCAACTCAGAACTGAATGTGAGTGGAGTTAATAAATAAGTCTGGCCCCCTATTTATCTTCATTTAAATTTTGAGAGCCCACCATCAATGTATTGATCATTCCAGCTCATATGGTTTTAGAGGGGGGTTCGCAATGTTTCTCTGCATGTTTTTGAAGAGGATACTTCACTGGTTGCAAGGGCTCCTTAGCAATGATATCAGGAAGTGGGGGTTGGAAGGCAGGAGGCAATAGACGCAAATGTGTCAACAGTTGTCATCTCAACTGTTCCTTTTGTTCCAGTCCTTGATTGTCTTTGGCAGGAATGAGCAGTTCGTGTACTGTTTTCTTGCTGTTATGAGCCAGAACTGCCTGTCATGGCCTCGCCACTGTCAATTGGGGAGAAAGACGAGTGTCTGTTTAATGCTGGAGCAGTAGACCAGCCCATTTTTTATCTAAAAAACCATGGAGAGCCTGAATAATCAGCACCATTCTTCTAATGGTGACCATCATAATGTTTCCAGCATGCTGCCAACACTTGAGGTGTTCCTGTAGCTGTTCAGGACAAAGCGTGCTGCCCTTCGCTGGACCGCCTCCAACCTATCGATGCTCCTCTGGGTGAATGGGTCCTTGACTGAAGATGCATAATCTAAAAGCGGCTGGACAAAGGCTTTATAGGTTTTTTCTTTCATGCTGGAGTTCCTTAGGAACCCTAGGCCTAAGGTCTGGTTTGCCTGGTTGTACACATTGTTAATAGGCTGCATCTATAGGTACCCGGGTACCTATCGTCGCCGATAACTATTCGCACCCGGAGTGGCTCCATACATATTAAATGGCTTCGGGACCGGGCGTGATAACAATTATAGTGTGAGAATTATTTTTTTAAATTGTTTTTTCTCCTTGTTATTTCATTGGTTCATAGTTTTATTATTTTTAGTTGTTTTTTTAATTTTTGCTTTGTTAATTTCTCTTAGTACCGGTAGATTTTTTTTCTTTCTTATTTTCTTTTTTTAGTTTAAGCCATTTTCGTAGATCAATTTTATAAAAAAAAATCTAGTAATGAAGATCATTTAGATACATTTCTGGTTTTCATTTTAATTTTAGAATAGTAATAATATTAATTTAATTATTAACATTAAATCCTTTATTTAAGATTATTTATGTGTATTGTTTAAGTTAAAAGATTTAATCACACAGTACTGTATGAATTAATTAGGTATTCTAAATAATGAAAATTTCAATCATAATGAATTAATTTCAACTATTCCTCTAGAGAGCTTGGCTTAGTCAGAACAAAACCACCAATTTTAAACCTTTTCCTTGGCACTGGGAGTCACACATGCAGACACTGACTGTTTTTCCTGATATCTTGAATCTCCTTTCAACAACCTTTCTCATTTGACTTGACCTAATTCACAAGGTAGTTGCAATGAACATCTTAAAGTTAAAGGATGCCATTGTATAGAGTATGAAAAAGAGACTTATTTTTGGAGGACTAGTCTTTTTTTTTTTTACCATATCTGTCTACTGGGTCTAACACACTGGTACATAATTTAAAATTTAATAGAAAAAAAAAACCTTAACTGACTTGAGAACATTTTTGTTTGGTTGTTTGTTATTTGAGTTGTGTACTCAAGTAATTCATAAAATCAATTAGGGGCCAGTATGGAGTAGGCAGCCAATAAACTCATTCAATTAGGTCACATCATTCCTTTGCCATTTGTCTCCTTTTACTTTCTCACCTTCCTTATTGGTACCCGTACAGTTAACTATTGTTTGTACGGTATCATTTCTTCATTTAAGTACAGACGTAATGATTGAGTGGGAGCTAATATATGTGATCTGTGAAGGGAATTTGGTTTCAAGGCAACTAAGTCATGCCACATTGAAAATAAAATACTGATAACCTAAATAAATAGAGCCATTGAAAAAAATATAGTACATACAAACCATACACAAACAGAATGACAAAAATACACTAAAGTTTTTTTTAAAAAAAATTTGTTGTGACTTTTATTGCAAAAAATTAAGCATTTAATACCAATTTTGACTTTACGCAAAATGAATAAAGACAAATTTGTATTGCATTGTATTCTAACTTATTGTACTGTATAGTAAATGAAACTTGGCATACACATTAAGAATAACATTGAAAAAAAGTTTAAAGAAGATTATTAGTAATTACACAGCAGTTATTGGAAGTGTTATGTATGTGGGGGGTCACATAAATATTTGAGAACTCTTCAGGGGTAGCAAATGTAAAAATGTTATAAAACTTTCTAGTTGGATATATATAGAAAAAAAGCCTCTTGAATTTCGTGAAGAATATCAATGAAAAGAAGCATGCAATGTTTGAAGGCTGTAGCTAGAATACTTTTCCTCCCGATTCATTTGGCATTCCTTAAAAATCCGAAAAATGTAAAATTGATAAAAATGAATAAAAATTATAAAATTGTGTTTTTTAAAATTAGAGGATGCATGAACGATATAGGATGCATACACCATGTACATATATCCTTCTTGATTTAAAAAACAATTAGAAAACCAAGACAGAAAAGATAGAAAAAAAAATTAACACACGAACCTAATAAATAAAATATATAAATACAAACATTCTGAAAACTTTTCCTATGAGACATTTGTTTAAAAACAATCCATCATAAAGTAAAGTATCTCAATATAAATAAGAATGCAAAGTTTCAATTATGTAGTTCCAAAACTATTCCTCCTGATTCATCAATTGATGTCAGGAAAAAACAATGAAAATGCTATATCTATAAAAGCTGAAAAAGACACTGAAACAACATTGGATGCATACATCATGAACACATTCCACTCGTTAATTAAAAATAACAATTTAAGAACATAGATATAATTGATAGAATATAAATGAATGCATTATCCCAACAACCCACATACCTCTAGCCCAAATAAAAATAAGATGATAAAAACTTCTGAATATTTTTTATCAGACATGTACCGGTAATAAATAAGATCAATCATAATCATTATGTAGAGACTATAATAGAAACCACCTTGCAAATTTGAAGCATGTGGTAATAATACTTTTCCTCATAATACATTTGATGTCAGAGATAAATGGGAATCCTAAGTGGACCACTTTAAAAAGAGAAAAAAATTCAATTAAGCAATATTAGAAATATAGGAGTTAAATAAAATGAAATTTAAAGCATTTCAATGTGAAATTATCAGGCAAAGGTGAAAAAAAAAATTAAAAACAAATATTTTACAAAACTAGTTTCAGCAAGGCATATTCACAAAAGATAAGAATTTTCTAGACATATTTAAAAATTTTAAACATTATCGTAGAACTCAGTATAAACTTGAGACATAAATCCTTCAAGAATTGGCTTAACATGCTCAGGACCTACATGTTTTGAAAGAAACCTGTGCACAGCCGGGTTAATGTGAAAATGACATAGATTAACAGGTCAATTTGGATCAGATCATTTATAGCAGAGATTTCAGCAATGTCTTTGTCAACCACAAAGCACGTGAAAAGACTGGCATCAGAATTCTTCAGAAGAAGCTGCAAACAAAGAGAAATAGATTCCTTATCTTCATTTTTTACAAAACCATGAAGAACAGGAATGCCCCTGCCCTCTCCATCAATAACCATTACAGTCAAAAGTGGATATAAATATTTATTGGTTTTATATGTGAAATCCATTAATAAAACCTCTGGATATTGGGCAATAATTCTAATCATATCATGAGTCATGTATGATAAATACTTCAATTCCCCACTTTTTGTTAGTTCATAGGACACACTTCCACCAGCTTGTGATATAGATAGAATGAAGTATAGATTGAGTTTCAGTTGCATCAGAAGATGATTATTTATTCTTGACTTAATATTGTAAATATCCCTGGGAAGCAAATCCACATCATGCTGCTCTTCAAGCACTTGCTGGGCCTCAGATGCCTGAATCGTGGTGCAGGATATCAACAGAAGCGTTGCCGCATCTAGTTCCACCTTGCGGTTTTCAGGATACAAGCGGCACATCTGGAAAAAAATTTCCCTGTAAGTGTGTGTTTGTGTTTCTGGACTGCAAAATTTTGCACACAAAAAAATTGATGCTGTAAAACTTTGCACATAACTGTATGATTTTGCACACAAACCAACAAACCTTAGAGGGAACATTGGTCTTATATAGTGCGGTACCCCAGCCTATGGCTGGGCTCACCGCGGTGTACATAAAAATAACTAACCTTCACCTTGGGAATAAATGTTTTAAGTTTATTATATGTCACAATAATCACAATTAAGATATAAAACTCTGATTGAACTATTTAGAATTTATTACATTTAATTTTACTGTTAAATAGATTGGTCTTAATTTTTTTCAAACCTTTCTAATTCTATGGTAAAGGTGGTAGGTAACCCTAACCTTAACCTTAAGTTTTCAATGATAAAATTTCTGAGGGCCCTAGATTGAATGGGTTAATGAATGGTACAAAACATTCTTTTAAATGCATCCATCTCTAATTCTATAGCACTAGAGTCCCTGTAGGTGAAACAACCTGCCACAAGAATATGCTATTTATTATTATTATGTCTAAATATTTTTTGCAGCACATGCACTTACTTCTTTTGATACTTCATGGCCAGTATGTTCATGCATTGATTTGGTAATTTCTAGCCGAGAAGGATTTCTCTGGGCAACAAGCTTTATCTTTGCCTGGCATCCCAATTTGAAAGAACTGAAAAATATAAAAATTCTTAACGAATTGCCACAAGTGATAAGGGCTAATGTAGAGCACGAATGCCACGGCGTCATTTGCTTCTTTTTATAGTTGCAGTGAATTAGGGGTTAGGTTATGTTGAGGGGTCGATTTAGGGTTCAGGTTAGGCATAGGGATCGATTTAGGGATACATTAGTGACTCATTAGTTGCGGCCATCGATAAAATAGTGGCATTCGTCCTCTACATTTACCGTGGTAAGAATCATTGGCTTGGAGAAAGAATTATTACATGACAAGTCCAAATAAATTTAAAGTTAACCTATTATTATTACTTTATTACTTACGCTTGTGATTTTCTTTGGCCTGTTGTCGTTGAAGACTTTGACTTGGGTTTAACTCCTTGTTTGCAACAGTGAATTATAAATTCATATTTAAGGTGTTCCAAATTGGGATATTTCATCTTCTCTGACTATCTTTTAGTGAAACACACATTGTGTTCTTTACAAAAATAATTCAATTCGTCTTCAAAAGACGCATAGGTGCCAAAATTGCTGCCAACCTCCATTTTTATAAAAGAAAGCGCGGCAAACTTGTCGATTATTAAGCCTCTGGTTCGGATCATGTTTTTTTTCGATTACTAAGACTTTAGGGTGCGAATAGTCATTGGCTACGATGGGTACTCGGTTGCCTATAGCCACTTTGTTGTTAATATGTGCTCGTCCCAATGGTGGCAACGGACGTCTCTTATAATCAACACTTCACTTACTCTTACTTAACTTAAACCAGTCTTTGGTCTTACTTTTCTAAAATGAGTAATACTATTACTATAGTATCATAATCATATTATTATTGTATTTATATTATATTTATATTATATTTATGTCAAATTATGATGTAGGCCTACTTAAATGTACTGAAATATAAATTTTATATTTATAATTACAATTTTTATTATGAATTATAAGAACGTATGACGAATGAATATGATAAAAATAAAGTAATGATGAACTGACTTCATTGAGTGAAGTTGTACCTGTTTGTTTTTCGCCTTCGATTCTTCTTCTTCATTAGAAATCGAATTTATTAGCTCCAACTCCAGGCCTAACATTTTTAACTTAAAATTAAATCGTTCGTTGTAGTACATGTAGAAAGAGCATGTCCATCTGTCAATTTCGGAACTATAACGAGAAAATGTTGTCTCTGTGTGTTGTCTCAAATTATTTTTAATCTCATTTATTAATTCATTTTCATTTTGTTCTTTGATCATGATTGATCCTGCCATTGTTTATAGTATATGAAATAGACTATTTGTAATGTAAACATTAGACATAAGGCTCCGTTTCATCTAAAGAAAAAAGGCCGGCACTACGTACACCGCGGCGGTGTACCTAGCGAAACTATTGATTTTGGCCTGCGTACACCGCGGCGGTGTACCTAGCTAAATCATGGTCTGTGGCCTGCGTACACCGCAGCGATTTACAGTAGCCAAACTATGGTCTTTGCGAGTCTTTAACTTTTTGGCCTAACCGGTACTTGTAGATTTAATGTTATACTCGTGTTAAAACTGAAAACTATTAAAAATTCGTTTATTACCTTGGGAAGATATTGAGTAAGGTCCACGCGTATGTGGCAAAGTGCATGTAAAGCATTTCTTATTATTTTTGGAAGGGAAGGGGCTGGGGGGGGGGTAATGTTAAACCATGATTTATTTTTAAAGTTAACCACTTTATTCCCCCCTCCCCCAATATCTTGAAATACAAATATATTTATTAATTGTAAGTTTTATCATATGATTGTGAATCTTAATTTGAAATTATTCTCTCATGCCCACCCCCCCCCAGTTGTTAGTTGTTTTGTTTTGGGTTTGTTTTTTTTGTTTTTTTTTTTTTTGGGGGGGGGGGGGGGTGCCTTATAAATATAACATTGTATGTGATCCCTCGGGGCATGGTGTAAAAATGAATGGGAAGACAGTGTATCTATTTTGTTAGCACCATGATATAATTACGCCACAAATACACTACGGGAAGAGAATCACATACTCATACATTGATCATGAAGTCGTGAAGTTAAAGTAGTCCGAGGCATTGTCATTGTGACACCAAGCATGTGTCAACACAAAACAGCAGTAAGATGATCAATACGAAACACTGCAGTTATTTGAGAGTCTTTTAACAATAATTAAAAATCATTGATTTAGTTTTACATTGGCATTACACATTAGTAAAAAAAATGCAGGCAGAGGGAGGGGGGATGCAAAAGGTAAGTTGGTTGTGCGGACGTCCTTTGTGGACAACCCCTATCCTGAGCCGTGATTTGTGAATGCCCTCTTTTTGGTTAAGCCTCTGCCCATAACTCACCACCACCCCCCACTCCCCGGCAAGGATCGATTTCTTAAAAAAAAAAAACAACAACAAATACAAAAACTTTGACATAGTGCAAATCCTGTCCCAGGCGCATTGTGCAATGGTTTCTGTGAGAAAACGTCGTGTTTTACCCTGAGAATAGCACATGCCATGCCATTCTGGAAACAAATTACGTCATGAAAAGGGTAAACGCAGACCTATGGCTTTGCTATACAGTTTGCTACCGCTCCGCAAGTTTCTAAAATCGAGGTGTTTTCAAAAGATTTGCTGTGAGACTGAGTGTTGTGAATGAACCTTTGATATCGTATGTACATTTTGCCAATGCATAAGGCATAGTGAAAGCAAGATGGTTCAAGGTTGAAATACGACCATGCACATTAATATTCATATGCATGAATATTATTCATACTGGTATTTTCTTTGGTTGTTCGTAAAAGTAAAATGTAAATATTCAACTATACGAAGAATGTTGAAATACAATAGAATATCAGTCACTTAGTATTCATAATGTTTCTGTTATACATGATCATCATGTATTACATGCGCTTTCAGAAACTTTAAGTTTGTTTTCAAATGTCTAAAGTCTTATTACTAAAGTTACCGGTATTTTCAAAGTCAAAGGCCGGCACAACTTGTTGAAACACTTATATATATAAATAAATATATAAAGTGTATTTAATATAATATTTAAACATATATTTAAATTGTTTCAATTGCTACAAAATATTTTAAAACTAAAATGGGAGGAAAAAAACTCGATCCCCTACTGAGAATTGATCTCAAACTATATTACGCCAAATAAACTGAGTAAAACAGAGTATGGTTAAACCTGAAAAATTAAACGTAACAAAACAGCGAACGTGTCGGCAGAAAAAGGGCACGATATATTACGCCAAGCGTCCACTCTACCACTTGACCACACAAGATCTTCTCCTACAAGTATATCTTAAAACCAGGCCAATGGTAAATTTTTGCCGCGGTGTACCCAGGCCAAAGCCCACGATTTCACTAGGTACACCGCCGCGGTTTACGCAGGCCAAAGCCGATGGTTTCGCTAGGTACACCGCCGCGGTGTACGCATCCACTTCGAAGAAAAAAATAGTATATGCAAGGGGAAATCACTCTCTCAAATGATTCCTAGTTATCTTTGCATTAACTCCACAGTTAGCTTCCTCAGTTAAACGGAAAAGAGTGATTTTTGCTTTATTACCCAAGTTATAGATATCCTCTCCCCGTGTATGTGACAATATATTATATTATGGATTGATGAATGAAATACTTTTTGTTTTCAATAGCAACAAAATTTAGAAATGATGATCATGAACAAACAATCATCAAGTCAACGACGACGTTGTTAACCACCGTGCCGTAGTTAACTAAGTACCGGTAAGTAGTTACTTAGAAGTATAATATAAGTAAGTCTTAGACCAACTAAGCAAGTAGTAAGTGCAAATGTAAGACCCAAAATAAGGTATTACTACCCTCAGTCACTAGTTCTAAGTGACGGGAAGACCGAATACTCAAGTACGGGTCCACAAACTGCCGCCTGCGTGCGGGCCACACCTGACCCACCAAGGGTCCTTAACCAGGCCCACCCCCAGCTGTGAAATGTATGTAATCGTACATTGACCATGCCATCTTCTTAGACAAGGCCTTCACAACATACGTCCCGCCAGCACCCACTTGGGGGGCCGTGTAGTAACTTAGTAACAAAATATTCTTTATTATTATTTTCTTAATTAATAATAGCTTTCGCCCCTCTCGCTCTCCTATTATCATTCAGCCTGCACAAATTTTTCATCAAGTATTACGGCCTGCACGAGTTTTCATTACGTATTATGGTCCACCTTACATTTTTGAGTTGTGCCGGCCTGTCTTAGACTTAAGCCAAGCAGACCCATTATTTTATATTGAAATACTAATAACTTTATTTTGATTGCTATTGTCTTTAATTTTAAATAATGAATAATGTATTGTTTTTTTCCACCCGTTTTGCACTACATATAAATATAAGATATTTACATATGCATAAGAATTCGTCCATGATATGGACCATATTTTTCTCAAACTATGAATCATTGCCCAGCCCCCAACAGAACAAGGTTTGAGGGACATGAACAGACCCTCTGTTTAAAAAGTTTGAGGACCCCTGGTATAGAGTATAGTACTATGATAAGGATATCTCAATATAGTTATTGTATGATAATAAATAAAGTATTGAAATAAAGTAACAAACTAAATTTAGTTTGTTTAGTTGTTAGATAGAATTACTCAATTAGAGAAAAGCAATAAATATAAATTATTTATTTCTCACTTTTTAAAATAAAATTGGCGTAAAGCCTCTAAAGGGCTAAATTTAACTCTAATAGACAAACTAACTAAACAAAGACAAATATTAGGGCGCACAAAATATTAAACTGATGTCTAGCTTAAAGAGTGTCTTGTTTCATTGGAGTTCAGATTTCCTTAGAAACCTCATTATTTTTATTCTGTATATATGGTGACTAACATTACTTATTATTTCTGTATGATGATATATCTCAGCTTTAGACATTTAGGTAAGTCTCAGTGGATGGGTGGAAATAAAATAAATGAAAAGTTAACAAACAAGATTAACTGTGTAGTTTGATTGATAAAAAAGTAAAAGTGTCAAAGTAAAAGTGTCAAAGCAAAAGAAGTCTAGCAAAGAACAACCCCTCAATCAGCAAACAAAAATATTTTAAAACTTCCCTCCCCTCCCTTTAGGAAAAAAAATATTTTGAACTCAACAAAGTTGAAATCCAATCCCTTATAATCACTTTATTTTCAAAAACTGAAGCCTACCTTAAATCTTTCACTATTAATGTGGTGCCCAACTGTTACACATAGCTATAATTATGAGGTATATGCCTAAATCATGCAATAATAAAGTTAACACTCTGTAGCATAGCCTAAGGAAACAGAGGTAGTGGCCGCATCCTCTGAGACCATTTTTCCAAAAAGGGGCCTTTTCAAGGATATAACATTTTTTTACGCTTTATTTTGAGAAATTAAAAAAACTTAATTTAAAAAAAAATGTTCTTCATCAGAGTAATTACTAAAAATAAAAAGCGAACACCACTTAAAATGACTTTAAGAAATATTATCGAAATTTGACAATGCTTGACTTGTCCCATCGTTAAAATTAGTGGGAATCAAAAGGGAATGGCATAGATAAGAAAGAAAGGCGCTTATGGAAGGGTTTCTATTGCAATTGCATGACGATGAGCCACCATTATTATCTGTGTGACAGTAACATGTTGAAGAAAAATAACGCTGAGATCCAAGAATGCAGGTTTTAGGAAGTCTGTAGCCTGGCAGAGCACTGAGTATCTTTTTAAAATTTATTATCATTTAAGCTTAATTTTTACCCAAAAAATGCGTTAAAGAATATAGAGTAATCTCCTATTATTATCGACAGAAGTCTTGATCTACTAACAAGTCAATCAAAATGTTACCTTTTAAGAATTAAAAAAAAGAAAACAGATAAGTAATCTACATAAAAATCATTCATATAAATTTAATAAATGATTTTGTAATTTTAAAAAATCCCCATGATATAATTCAATTTTTCACTTTCTTTACAGAGTGCAGGAGAAGAGATATAAGAGTTTTGTAACAAGAAAGTCATCTCTAAATCTTTCACAGACTGAGATAGTTATGGCAGTAGCAAGTGCACGCTCAAAATTCCACTTTTACAATTCTATGACATGTCTTCTGACAGCCTTAGAAGGAAAAGTTATTACTGTGGAGATTCGTAATGATAAAGTTATTGAAGGCATACTGGATCTTGTAGAAGCAGATATGAATCTGAACATGTCCAATGTAGTTCTCACAGATGTGTTAGGTAGATCTACACGCTTAACAAAGTTTTATATCAGAGGTCGACAAATTCGTTTTGTGCATATCCCAGATGAGGTTGACATTATTAAGGCTATGCAATGGCAGATTGACAAGACGGAATACTATAAAGGTCAGGAGAGAAAAGACAGAGAGAAGATCATGGACAGACGGCAGCAACTCAGGGAAAAGAAAAGTGCACAACTTCAAGCCCGTGAAAAAAGAATGTAATATAGGGTTGGACAGAAATTGATGTTTGAAAAATAAATTGTTATAATTGCTTTTGTTATGGACATTTGTAATAATGGTTATGTACATTAATATTAAAATAAATTATGATACTAATGTTAGAATGTTATTACTTATTTTTATTAAATAATTCAGGCCATGGGCTTTGTGAAGAATACAGTATATGTTGCTAAGTCTTTAACTTTAAGTTTAAGGAACACAAAGCAACAAATTAAAGGAAAAAAAGCAAAAATCAAAGCAAGTATTTATTTAAAAAAATTTAATACCATGTTTATATATGTCATAAAATTCCAATTTTTTATTTTTTTTATTTTTAGATCATATGACTCTGCATTCATAGAGCTGATTCATATTTTTAGATCATATGACTCTACATGGAATTAATGCGTTTGACATTTGAAAAAACAACAGCATCCCGTTTCCCCCCAAATATAGACAAATAATATATGCATGTGTCTTTGAGATTTTATCATTTATACACTTTCTTGATCATATGTATTGTACACACATAGATAATATATTATGCAACAATTTGAACAAACTTATATGAAATACATGAACACTAAATTATTGTAATAAATATGTCAATGCATAGAATTAGAATCTGGAAGATTAGAGTTTAGCGCAAAAAATATAAGAATAGTCATTAATTTTTAATGGTGACTAAACTGTACTAGTTTGGCAGGAAGCACTCAAATTGATGACAAAACCCTGTTATCACTGACCAATGCAAATAGTACCTCCTAACAATGGATATTTTAAAACTGGGACATAGTTGATTCTCCAGAACAAAACACCATGCTCAGGCTTTACATTTAAACCAAAGATATCTCCATCAGAATAACTTCATTGTCTCTTGGCAATCAAACACACTAAAATATATAAATTACCGGTACCAAATTCCAGTTTCAAACGTTGAGGTTTAAAAAAGATGCTTCTTTAAGATTTTACCTATGGTACAGAGAACACATTTTATGGTTAAAAGTAAAAGTAAATTTTTGAAAAGTGAAACAAATTGAAGTTTTATTTTTATTGAAATGAATTGCAGTATATTTGAATTAAATTTCATCTTAAATGAAGTACCGGGTACCCCCATTTTAAAAAAGTAAAAAAGTTCTGAATGTGCAATATTTGTATAGGGCTGTAAAATATAAAATTGCTTATTAAGGTCAGCCAATTAAACAAAAGAACACAGCAGCCATTGGTTAACAAAATGGCAATGGGAATGTTTTAAATTAGTTTTAAAAATATATCAGTTACAAATGTGGATACATTATGAAATGTCTATATTGTGATATCAATCAGGTCATCACAGATATTAGATTTGAATTTCTTAAGTAAACAAAATCTAAACTAATATAAACATAAACATATACAATGTATTGCTTATAAATATATTACATTTTAATGTAAAACGGTTACAAATTTCTAATGTTTTGCAGTAACATTTTTCTCACAAGAATAAAGATAAAATATTTTAAAATACTGATATTTAAGATAGATGATACACATGATAATTTTTCAAATTTAATCTGCAAATTCACCATGGTACATGTATGTAAAAAAAATATATTTTATTAAAAATTTTCAAAATACATTTTTCCAGGAAAAAAACCAAAGAATAATAATAAAAGAAGGCAATGATTCTTTGTGTTGAAACATTTGGAATTGATTGCCAGGAAAAGGGGCCTATGTGTATTCTATTCAAACTATTCTACAAAGATTCCCGCAATACATGAATAAAATGGTTACCAAAAAAATTCCTGAATAATAACACTCGGTAATAATACCCACAATTTTCTTTCCATTTTTAAGCCTTTTACATAACAATGCAATCTCATATTTTTATATGAATAAGCACAGAAGTGCATTATGTTATTTCTATGTCATTGGATTGGATGAGTAACACAAAAATATTGTATATGGTACTGTATTACAAAAAAAATGTTATTTTAATTATGTGTCAGTACCAGTATATAAAGAAAAAAAAATAGAATAGGACATTAATTAAAATCTTACATTGGTACCATTAAGATGGTAATAAGGGGGAGAGACTGCAATCAGGTTAGAAAAAAGGAAATGAGCGAAACAGTGTATGGGAAAACCTGAAACAAAAGAATGGGAAAAAAAAACAATGAATGTCGGCAAGAAGCCTTCATCAGCAAACAAACAACTGTAAAAACAGAATTGAATAAAATTAACACTTAGCGGTAATGTAGTATCTAAGAGGAAGAGGAATGTCACAGAACATAAGTAGGTGAGAGATTAATGAATACAGGCAAAGAGACAGAAGAGAGGAAAAGTTAAGTCCACTACGAATGGACTAACGAGGAGGGGGAGGGAAAAGATTTACCTGGTTAATTAGAACATAACATTCATGCCATATTGTGTCAAGGTTCCATAATTCACCCGGGTTGGTTTGTTTGTACAGGACATAACTGTGCTGATAGTAAAATCATATGAACCCTTGTGGTCACTTCTACTGAAGTGTTTAAATAGTTTAAAGATGGGACACTGCTTATATTGCGTAATATTATGGAGGTGTTCTGTACATCTGTCTGAGAGTCGGTGTCCTGTCTCACTTAGATATGACATCTGGCAGCGGGTGCAAATAATGGCGTAGACAACAACTGCTAATACAAATGAAACCATCCCTTATCTGCCCTTCGGGAAGGGAATGTGTTAAGTCTGGATGACAAAAGGGCAAGTGTTGCAACAGATGCGTTCACATGGCTTGATCCCAAAGTGGGAGCATTAATGTGACTTTTCACAAGGATGTCACACAGATTTTTATCATGTCTGAAAACACTGAGAGGTGGGCGAAGAGAAAAAGTTGTGGATGTCAGGGTCAGCGAGGAGAATGGCATGGTTTCAAAGGAAAAAATGATTGGCTATGAGACTGAGGATGGTTTGTGAGACTAAGTTTGGTCCTGTCGCCATTGTCACTCTGAAAAGACCTGAAGGCATCAGCACAGGTAATATATTGGCAAATAGATGTAAGAAAAAGGGATTATGGCTTGTTCGAAGTACATAGATGTCAGATGAAGGGATTCTGGCATGCTCAATAATCAAAGTAAACATAAAATATGGACAGAGAAAGTGAGGGGCAATGTTCCCTCTAAGGTTTGTTGGTTAGAGTGCAAAATCATAAAGTTGTGTGCAAATTTGTACAGGATCAATTTTTTTGCGCGCAAAATTTTCAGCCTATGGACACAAAAACAAACTTAAGTGGAAATTAGTTGCGCAGTACTCAAAACTGCTGCGCGGCGTCTGTGAGATTGCTGCACGGCCGCGCAGCTTAAAGGGAACATTGGTGAGGGGGGTTTAAGTTTAAACCTCCAATCTGCATGCCACAAGAGGCCTCCCGAAAAATTCAGTCTAGCGTATCAATCTTTAAATTTTTGTCCAACCGTACAAGTGGAATTTTTGTATCACCTGAAGTTCAATGATTTAAATGTGCTTTCAAGGGACTGCACCTCTTTTGAATTTGAAGGTCTTGTTCTAAAATTTTGTCAACATTCAAACATATTCTCAAAAACCTCATAGTTCATAAAATTTGGAGGCCGTAGACACACATCAAGTTCAAACATAAATAAGTTTCTGCAGTGGTTTCTGTGTATCAATGCAATGTGCAGTGATTTCTGTGTTGTATCAATGCAATGTGCAGTGATTTCTGTGTTGTATCAATATCCGGGAGAATGTGCAGTGGACATCAAGAAGAAGAGAGTGGGGAGGAGAAGTTTATCAATTAGGACAGAGGTGGACATTGGAGAGGGGAAGTTATTCAAATGCCAGGATTTTGTGGATGGCCCCTTGAACAAGAAAACAACATACCATAAAAACATTTTAGGTCTGAAGTATCAAGTATAACATCAGAGTTAATTACTAAATTATTATGCTTCAATATGTTATTGTCTTACAATGATTGTTTATTTTATGCTCTACATATTGCATATGCAAAGTTGGATTCTGTGGGAATTGTCTAAGTGGAAAGTATAATTGGTATTTAACATTACAATTTAAAATAGTAATTGCCTAATAACTACAGCATTAAAAGTTTTCTTTGTTGTAGTAAAACTTGGTTTTCTCCTCTGATTTGGAGAACTTATTGCACATCTTGTGTAAAATTGTTGACAGAGGCTTGGGACCACAGAAAAATACACCTGTACTCTGTCTGTTATTGAGAGAATAAAATCATGTATTAAAATTTGCAAAAATATTTTGCTTTGATAAACTTGTTATCTTATAAACTCTGTTAAAGTTTAGACAACAGTATCTTCAACCTCTAAAACTTGTTATCTTATCAACTCTGTTAAAAGGCATGAGATGGTGGTAACCTCAACCTCTAAAATTTATCTGCTTAGGAAAATATTTTCAGCAGTTTTAAAAGTACAATTACAATGATACCTAATTTTTTTTATGTGAATTATGTGTGAATAATTATAATTTAATAAAATCACTTTAAAAAAAAAATTCTCTACCCTTTATGTGAAGTGGCCAGTTCCTTAAATATAGTTTCCCACTGTGGTCTGCCATAATGTGTCTTCTGATGTAATCCTGTCACAGCATCATAATCTGCCATGTCATCATGAAGGATTATATTTCTGGCCTAGAAGAACCAGCAATTGAAATTAATAAGTAAGTATTTTATTTGAGAATCTGAAGTGAGTGCTATGTTCATGATGGTGTGTATAATTGAAAGAATGTGACCACTGCTGTTTATATTTGGACAAAGCTATAATAAAGAAAATACTTAGATTCATGAAAACACCATACTTGATTTGAGTTCCAGCCTTTTGTCAGGTAGATGAAGTAACGCAAGAGATTCTCAGTATTTCTCATTCTCATCTGGCGCTCCAAATCGAGGAGCAGACCCTGAAACCACTCAAATGCTGTTGTGTCGGGACACACCCAGTAGAGGTAAACGCGTTTAAGAGGCAGTGTTTCATTAGGATGGCAAAACTTGTACCTATCATACAAGATAATATGACAAATTTTGACTGGTCCCCTAAGTCTCCATTCTGAGGTTAAATGGGTTGCCTGGTAAAGAACTTATAATATTGAGAATACACAGATAACTTTTAATGATCTCATAATAATTCAACACAGTTTTGTATAAGCCAATAACATTTAAGTTTTAGCCTTAGTTTTATATGTCTCAGCCGACACCATTTAAGTTTTAGCCTAAGTTTTATATGCCTCAGCCAATAACATTTAAGTTTTAGCCTTAGTATCTATAGTGATGCCATATACTTGAGCTGTCTTACCAAACTGACTTGAGTACAGAAGCAAATGGAGTAATACCAATGCCACAGCCAATCAGCACTGCCACATCATATGCTAGGACATCCTGATGGAAACAAATTAGAAACAATAGTTAGAAATGTATTTATTGAATCATTTACTATACAAAATACAATAATAATAATGTTACATAATTGTCTAATTTTAGTAATGTTTTAAAATAAAGTTGGTGTAATAAGGCTAGCAAAAATGTTCAAATTGTCATTATATTAATGATACAGAATGTTACAACATATTAAAAAAATTAAATTTTAATTCACATAATTTCAGTTGTATAAAATAATAACACCTAAGTTAAAAAAAAAATTGGAATGTTTTTGTGGAATCTCAAGGCAGAGGTTTAGCTGTGGGCTCATTACCATTAAGCGAGAGGGTGGACTTAACTTATTCCCCCCCCACCCTCGTAAATCCAAGATGCACATTATCATGAATAATGATTCATGAAAATTATAAATTGATGTTCTCAGAGATTTATTCAGTGTAATTCTATCCCCAAAGGGGCAAAGAATTTTTTATATTATTTACACCCTTTGCTGACTAAAAAGTAATATTGTTCTTTTCTAAAATCAAATGTTTGACATACATCTGTAGCTGTCCCATAAGGGCCATCAACTTTTAACCTGGAAAAATAAATGTTTAATGGATAAATTGTTGGTGTTTCAGCCCTTACATTTTATATTATATTTATAAATTTATATTGTTTAAAATAAATAAATAAAATTAAAACAGTTTGAAAATAAATGGCAGAGTTATGATCATTTTTTAGAATTCTTGAAGAGTAAATGTGGCTACTAAAATACTAAAAACACCAATTTTTAAAAAGAAAGTCTTCTTCGTGTTCCTGAAACCAGAACTCATTAAATTTTAATTATACCATTTTAAGGTGCAGCCATTCATAACATATCAGGTTGTGTCAAACTAAATTTTAGATATTATCTCTTATGTCGCTCAGTTTAGTCACTCTGATAAAATTTGTTTCTTAATTAAAAATATGTTATTTTAATACAAATTTCAGTTATTAGATAAAAACACTAATCCTAAAAAATAACTTAACCTTGGCAATTTTGAAGTGTCTCTTAATTCTCCTTCATCAACACAACACAGCTTAGCTACTGCATTTGTCCAGTCTCCAACACGACGAATGTGAACTGAGAAGTAATCATCCCCTGAAGCCTGTTTTTAAAAAAAAAAAGATAACTCAACATAGGAACATTTTAAACTTTTTAAGTTATTTCATTTTCATTTGGAAAATATTTGGTAGGCAATTTGCAGATTAGTACTTTGTATTTTTGTGTTTATGTTATAACATTTAAGAATAAAGTACTAGATCTCCTTACAGAGGTTAAAGTAAAGGGATGCCACTCTAGACGAGACACACTTGGACATTGTATCAATACATACTGCCCTGGAGATGCACTGAAACCTTTTTTCTGCATCTGAATTTCAAAAACACGAGATTGATGCGTCACTATCTGTAAGGAAGAGAAGATTGTGAATATTCTCTGACATATTTAATTTTTGTGTGTTAATAAATTTATTTATATTATTTATTACAAAATTAGGAACAAAAAGTAATTAAAATAATTTAAAAGATAAAAGTGTTAGTTAAAATGTGTTTAAAACCTGATTAACTGGTCCATTATTTATGTTAAAGTATGGAATTAAAGTAAGTTAAATTCAACCTTTGTTATCTCCACCCTCTGGAAGTTACTGATGAAACTAGCAAAACGATCTATAAGAAATATAACCGTAGGCACAAGGAGCCAAATCCAACCCTGAAATATGGAACACAATTATTTGATCAAATGTTTTTGTTAACGTTACAGATACAAAGTTTTTAAATAAAAAAATTTAGTATGTAGGCCTTAGAGTTAATCTCAAAAGTCCCATGATATAATTTCAAATACATAATTATAGCAACAGAACTCACATGACGATCATAGAGTTAAAAAACATTGTAGTTTCAAAAAATATTTTACAATAATATTGCCACCTACTTTCGGGAAAGCGCCTTCAAACTCTGGTATGGCACACTGGCCTGTACCCCAAGTTTTATATTTATCTGCACATTTTTCAATTGGATGTGTGTCAAGGTTAATTTGCCTATGAATTATCCGTCTGAAAAAAGGGATTAGGTATATTAAATTCTTTTGGGTGAAATTATATGCTCTTGTTCCCCAACTATCAAAAATTAAATTGAAACTTAACAAAAAAAAATAATAAACCTAATATATTTTTAAAAATACAGTAATAACTCATAAAAAGACTAAATTTTTAATTTATATTTTTCCTTGATTATGCCCTAATTTTTTCAACCCACTAATTTTTCTCTCATTCAATTTGAAACTAATGAAATCTAAAGACTAATATTAATAAGTTATGTGTTATATTTTTGTAATGAACTGCTCTAATGTCCAACTTACTGAGCTCCATGTATAAAAAATCCCAGGCAAAATATAATGAAGACATGATGAGTGAACCAGAATACTTCAAAGTAACAACGCCTGGAATACAACACAATTAACAACAAAACAGGAATTGCAATTAACATAAGGCTAACAAAATCAAAAGGTATTGAGACTCACCCTCAAAATAATTAGCTGGAAAAAAAAAAAAATTTAAAAACTCTCAACTTTATGACACTTTGGCTTAAGCTGTTCAAATTTGATGTATCAATATAAAAGCAGCAAAACAAATTTTAAAAGCTTGCCCAAAATTGTGGACACTAAACTTACAAAGTTTTGCAGCATAAGGAACACATATGTAAAGACAGTTAACACAATTAAATTAAAGCTGTAATGTTTGAAATATCTCATAAATTCTTTTTACTAAATCATTGCCACATCAAAAATCTTAACTATCTCTTGTATTGTACTCAAAAGTTTTCAACATGACTTTTCTTGAGTTTTAGATAAAATTTAAAGATCAAAAGTTTGTAAAATTACTACTTTCTTTTTTACTTGTGGCAACACCAAATAAAGGTTCTGAAAAAAATGTGAAGTATAAACTGGTAAATTTGTCTGATCAAATTTTCTTTAAGGGTTGAAAGACTCCAAATGTATAAAAAAACATAACCAGAAAAACTTGGAACTAACCGGACAATTTCTGTTGAAGATGAAACCATAATAATAAGGCACAAGGTTATAACAACACCAGTGATTCCAGCTACAGTCTTAAAAATTTCCTTGGTTGGGTCCTACATTTAAAAATAAAAAAATTATGTAATGTCAATGAAAAATTGAGCATATAAATTACGCCTCAACATAATTATTGCAATAGTTCATGTATAATGTTCTAGGTTTCTCTCAGACAGTGCTTAGTTCTCTGGTGTTAGTGTTTTAAAACGGTTTAATAAATTACTTTGAATTTAACCATGCTGATTAAATAGTTTTGATGAATATTCCTTTTATAGGCCCTTGAAATTTTACATGACTGTTTTTTTTTAATTTATATTTTTAATAGATATTAACATCCACATAGATTGGATGATAAGCTAGGGACTGAAGATAAACATATGTAGCCAAAAACTTGTAGGAATCGCTAACTTTTAAAATAATTTCATTTCAGCCATACAATCTAAAAGTATGTTCCCATTCATTCATAGAAACAATCAGATCATAAAAGCAATAATATTCACAGGATCTGCTGATCTAATAGGGTTGATCCAAGAACCATTTGGTGTTTTTGGTAGACGGCTGAGATAATTTCTAATGTCATCATCTCGAGCTAACTGAGCATCTGCCAGCCTCTCAAAGTTAAAATAATGAGCACCAATATGAATAGCTGAAACATTTGAACATATAAATTAATAATTTTGGTTAGTTGGCTAAGTCACATCCAAAAGCATTTGAATTTTCAAAAAATGACATTCTCTAATAAAACTAATATGCCCATGAACTATAAAGTTTACTTTTAAAACCAACTACCCATATTGGTAAATTATTGATAGAGCCATTTTGAAATTCTCATTACCTGAATGAATACAAATCATATACGCTATATATTTGTGATAAGTAATGCTTTTATCCAACTGTCTGCGCAGCGGTCTTGGGCAACACTGGAACAAAAAATGTAGGTAAATTACAACTAAATATAACCAAAATTTTTGGAAAGATTTAAAGATTGGATGTCATTTATTTTGTTAGCCACTAACATTATTTGTTATGCAATTTTATATGAAATGTTAAAATAGCCAAGAAGAATTGAAGAATATAATTTATAAGATTCTAAAAACTTTGATTTCCCATTATCCTTAATACAGCTTTTATATGAATAGCAAATAGAAAATCAGATCTAGATAAATGTTCATAATAGCCAATGGAAATAATACTTATTTATTCAGCTCTAGAACATTAAAAATAATTGTTAAACTTAAGTATTTTAATATGAATCCTCCAATATCAACTTTCTGAAGAAATAAAAACTTAAGTGAAAGTGAAAGCATTCATTTCAGTTAATTAAAAAAATTAATTAAAAAATGGAACAAAATTATTTCTATATTACCTTACAAGAACCTCTTATAAAACTTAAAATTTTCCGACATACAGGAAGAAGTATGAGCATAACATTAAAATTTAGACAGGCTGCACTGCCTCGAGCCCAGCATAATGAAGTCTGTGGATGAATTATGTTTAAGATTATGAATATTTACTTATATATTAATATATAACAATATCTGATGAATAATCTTATACTTTTACATTTTACTGTTCAAGATAAGTTGCTAAGCTCTGTAACAACTGAAAATTGGGCATGCTTACTTTATAAATATTACATTTTGTTTCATGGGATGGTTAAGACTACCTTTTAATATATTAGAGTTTAACAATTTGAAAAAAAGAAAAGATTATTCTAAAGCACAATCAGTGATAGAAGTAAGGGGTGATCCATAAATGACATCACACTACTTTGGCATATTTTTTTACCCATCCCCCCAAAGCATCAAATAATTGTAAAACAAATAAAACTAATTAGTCAATTTAATCACACATCAACACAAATTCAGCCCCCCCCCTCCCCCCCCCGTGACTTCATTAATGAAGTTTATATCAGTTTATATCTCCACTGCTTATATCAAGACAGAGTCTTTTTGAACTGTCTGTGCCAAAAAGATGGATGCTTGTCACAAGCCCTGCACTTACAATGTAAAAAAATGGATATAAAAAACTATATATATTCTTGTAGGGTATTAAATAAACTAATATGATCTTTATAAATCAAACTGAAATCTTAACAGTTATGCAAATGAGATATCCTGATTTGCATAATTTATGCATGCAATTTTTTTTATGACTTTGAATAAATTATCTTACTTGCAGAATTTTGTTACATTTTATGATTGTTGAGGTCTAAATAAGTCCTTACCCATATTTGAATTAGATTCAATGTGAAAACATTCATAAAATATTCACCGTGCTGTTATGGCTTTCACTATATTTCAAGGTCACATATTTTTTAAGGAGTTATAGGTTTCAATAGGTTAAAAAAAATTGATATAAAATGTCAGAACACCATAAAATATCAATGGAAGAAAAATGGTGAGTTTAGCAAGAAATGTGAGAAGCAATCTGATAAGCTGGTACAAAGACCAACCAGTCAATCTCTAGGATTTTATTATTGGGCTGATAGATCAGCCTTTCATCTTTTTTGCCTTAACACTCTTGGCAGATAGATCAGCCCAGCCATCTCAAGAGGGTTAATCTATAACAGTGAGCACCACATAAGGGTCGCTAACCTTTTTTTGGTGTTATAAGGGTTAACCATGTGTTTTATTTACACTATTAGATTTATAAAATCTAGGAAATACATCACAAATAATATAATGTTTGAGCCCCAACAATTCAAAATGTACATTAGGGAAATAGTGAATACTGTATGTGAGCTTTTTTTATAACATGCTTACCCCAACCAAAGAGCGCAAGTAGAAATACTCTTCACCATCACGATAGCTAATAAATGTGACAGCAAAGATTATTGCATTTATCACAAGCCATAAACCCTGTAGATGACAAAAAAAATTGTTAAAGTCATATTCCAGATAGCATGGATTGAGAATAATAAATATAATCGAAATATTAAGGCCAGACCAAATACAATTTTAAATTGAAGAAACCTGTTCTCAGGTAAAATATTCCATATTATCTTGCATTAATTTCCATTAAAAATAAGAGAGATGTGTTCCAGTCCAAAAAATACCTAAAAATGTTACCTAAGTTGACTTAAATTAAAATATGATTATCAAATTGTGCATTCCAATATAATTTCACGTAAAAAAAGGAAACAACATCTAAAAATTAATTGCAAAAAAATGTTGGTGCTATATAAATTTTTGCGAAGCATCTTGGTATGGAGTCATTTTAATTACCTTTGTTTTGTGTGAGACTAGTGTCACATGACCTGGTGGATTAAGAGTTGTGTTTTCTGCGATTTTTAAAATTTAAAACTATAGAAAATTTGTTGAATTTTTAAATATATTTGTTTTAAATTGAATATATAGACTATAGACAGACAGTTTCCATAGTTATGGTCAACGTCACATGATGGAAAAGCATTACTAAAACAAAGTTATTCTTTTTTGAGGACATGATTATTGATAACAACTGCTACAATGAAGTATTTGGGATAAACTTTACTTATTAGGTTAGGGTTCTACTAAGTCAAGTACTAGTGACTCTCCTACTCATTTAGTTAGACTTTATTGATTGTTGTCAATTAAGAAATATTTCAATCTTAGTACAAGTACAAGGCCCTAGACTAGACTCTCTAGACCTAGACTACACTGTCAGTACAGAGTACAGTGTATCAGTGTAGTATCAGGAATCATAATAATGAGTGAGCATGATTCATGATACACTCTGAAGACTGAGTGATCACCGAGTCATTCACTGATACTGTATAAATTATTAGATATTAGATCAATCATACAGAGATAATTGTGATATTATACTAACTAGTGTAAGTTACAGCCTACAGTTACAAAGTTACAGGCAAACATGCTACCAAACTAATTTCATACCACAACAATCCATTTCGGTGCTTCGTTTGTAATCCAGTCAACCATTTTGGGACTCTAATCGTAGTTTGAACTTATATATAAAACTGTATTTCCATATCATTTACTTAAATAATTAAAAACCATCAATAGTAAATACGGTGACAAAATTCTCTCACTCCCAGTCTTATTTTTTTTTTTTACCCCAGTTTACCACACAATCAATGTAATTAATGAATGCCATTGAATTATGGTCCAATTTTTTTTTTCTTAAATGAATCCGGAGGCATACACAATCTAGAACAGTGCTGACCAAACTTTTTGACTCCGGTGTGCAATTTTTTCCGTGAAGCCGAGGGCCGTAGATTATGAAATCTTTAAAAAAATAATTATTTTTACTTTTTAGAAAATTATTCAATTTATTTGTCTAATTATAATATGGCATCAGTGGCGTAGCGAGGGTGTTTGGCGCCCGGGGACAAGATTCACGCCCGGGTACAAGATCCATTTTTAGCGCCCCTTTTTCTTTTTTTCAACTCTCAAACCAATTATTTTCATCAATAAAATAATATCAAAGCACATTTTGGCGCCCCTAACTAGCTGGCGCCCGGGGACATCTGTCCCCCTGCCCCCACCACGCTACGCCTCTGTATGACATCCTTCCGTCTTAGTGAGACGATGGAGTAGCTATTACTATATAGTTCTACATTTTGACGAGTGGCTCACTAGGCCAATCCTTGAATGGCAATCACGGCCGCATCTCTCGCAGGAGAATGTTGAATCCCGGTAAATTCTTGATTTTCGAATTGTTCTTTTTGATTCGAGGGCCTCGTTTCGAGTAACTTATGCATTTTTCACGCCCCCAAACACTGCTGTACGCCAGTTGGAGCGATGTTCGGCAATTAACTCCCATTCGTTTGTTTCAATATTGGCTTCCCTCATGCTTCGTTTGCAAACGTCAATAAATCTCAGGCGCGGTCGTCCAATATGTCTTGTCCTCTCTGGCAACTCTCCATATAGCAGAATCTTTGGGATACGTCCTTCCTCCATTTGTCTAATTACCTTATGTATAAGTATCACAAATCTGCTAGCAGTATCATCTCAAAGAATAACAACTGTAGCAAATCTTTAAATTTTAAAACGATATTTGGCTTTAACTTGAACTTGCAGCCTTCTTAATCTGCAGCTGTTACTAAGTAACTGCTGCCCTTATTAAGTCTCCTAAATAAAACGCTTTTTGGACTTGATGTTGGTCATTACAGAGAATCTGGCTTTTCAGACGTAGGTGCTTCCAAACATCGTCGATATCTTTTTACAACATTTCAATAGTTACGGAAGTTCATCTGAAGAAACATAGGTCATTCAGAAGTCATTTGGCGACGCATTCTTATGTTTTTCAAGAACAGCCATGTTATGCTGAATCTCGATGATTTCAAGCTGCACAGCACCTTCATCTGCTCCTAATAATGTAAACTTTGTGGCTACAATGGAGATATCACACGTAAATGGATTATCAACAAAAAGAAATAACATGAATAAGACAGCGAATATCGTTAAAACGATCTGTAAAATTTAACTTCAACTTTTCTAACAATAGATTGAATCGCTCACTTGTGACCAGCTCTGAAAGTTGTTGTGCAGCCTTTGCAAGGGCTGGGAAGTGAGTGAAATTAAGACTGATTCAGTTGAGTAATGAATAAGTCCAGCTTGGATTCGAAAATACTAATTTCTTTCATTGGCATTGGTAAGATTTGAAAACGCCCTTGCAATTTGAAATTTAATTTGTTAAGGTAATCTGTGATGTCAGTTAAAAATGCTAGCCTTACAATAAACTCAGGAAATTTCCATATAATTTAATAAATCGTCGTTAGCTTTGGATTTGAGAAACAGTTTCAATTCTTTAATTAGTTCCCATAATCTTGCCAGCACGTTCCTTTTGTTTAGCTGTCGAACATAGCCCCGGGCTCTTGTCGTCATGTCGATCAATGACATGTTCGATAAAGAGGCGCTCGCCACGAACCCCCTGAAGCGTTACCCGGGGAACAGTACCACCGTGTAGGGGACCCGCGCTGAAAGGCAAAGGTAACGCACGGAGACTGCGTTAAATCGAGCACGATTGCATGGCTTCCCACCAAGTGCAGTCGAACTATTTTACTAAACGCAGAAACAGGTTGGGACATGATTACAGTTGCCGTATGGATATGAGGTGAAGGTGTGTGGCAACCTTTCACCGGTGATTTTAAATATGCAGTCTTGAGGGTACTGCTCCAAGGCAACCTCTCTCTCCCATCTACGGTGTGAATTAGTCGCGCCGTAGAATAACCATACAAACCCTAGTAGAGGGCGTCGGTCTTAAACAACTACGCGGTCCCCCCGGGGTGGTAAGGGGGGACTTTAGAGACGTTAAATATCCACCCCAACCCCTTAGAAAGTCCGGCCCTGTTGCTGCGTGAGCAGCAATCCGGCTGGCCAGGTGTTTCTTCTCTGGGGCTGCACGGGGTGGTAAGGGGGGACTTTAGAGACGTTAAATATCCACCCCAACCCCTTAGAAAGTCCGGCCCTGTTGCTGCGTGAGCAGCAATCCGGCTGGCCAGGTGTTTCTTCTCTGGGGCTGCCACACTCGGCGGGCAATCGAGTGGAGGTCGAGTGTGGCGGTCTTAGGGGCGGAGCGTCCCTGGCGTGCCGCTTCGCGGCCCGATCGGAATAAAGACCACTTGACCACTGGGGGAGTGGTTGACGGCCGGTTTGGTTGGCGGGGTGGTGCGTTGGGGAGGACCATATGAGCCTCAAGGCTCGGTGTTCGCTGATTTTCTTAAGTTAGTTAGTTAGCTGTCGAACATTAGTATGAAGAACAAAATCCCACACAAAATGTCAAATTCTTCTAAAAAATCTTAAACCGTCGGTGACTAGGTAAAAAGAAATAAACAATTTCACAACACTATCTATAACATTGCCGTGTAGGCTTATCATCTTTCTTTCAGCTTTGATCAAAATGATTGCTGGTGAATTATACAACAATACGCTAGCATATCTGGAAAATCGTTGTCAGCCATCAGCAAACCAATCACGCCAATTGGTCCTTCCCATTATTACTGGAGCACCATCTGTTGTAACCGAAATAAGCATCTTAAAATTAATATTTTCCTTTGATAGAAATTTCTTCAGTGAATAAGCGCGAATAATTTATTCTGTTAGCCCCGACGTTAAGTTGGACTATGTCAGTGATATCACATGATTCATCCAATGCAAGATTGAAAACAGGTAGAAAGCATTTTTCAAATCATGAGGCAACTACTCAAATATATCTCCGGACACCTTTCCACACACCTTGCTACAGTCTGGTGTGAAAGCTGAAGATAATATTTAAAAAAAAATATTCTTCTTTGTTTTTAAATTCAGCAAATAATGCCATGGAACATTCTTGAAAACAATAATTAGCAGTTTCACTATCTGAATATGGTTTATGCTTCTTAGCTAATATTAAAAGATGCTGCAGTTTTTTTAATTTATTTTTTAATGTTATTTTTAAAAATTCATTTGTTGATTAAGTAGTTATCTCCAAAAATACTTGTCATAAAAATTGAGTTGATAAATGAATAAAAATGTACCCATCCCTGAACGTCAAGCCCCTAAAGTATCGTAGACCCTCTGGAGATGTAAGGGTTGCAGAGCCCAGGTTTGGGCTCTTAGGTCAAGTGAACCTACATTTTGTAACTGGCATCTTCGCCGTAGCTCTCCGATTATGTGTAGAATGTTGCAAAAGATCATCAAGGGCGCCGCCATTGGAATGTGTTGAATTCATGTTGGGCTGGAGCAAGTCAGCGATGTTATTAACTATGGCTAATTTTATCGCTTTGCACTGGAAAGTCTGAAATTCCCCCTCAAAATTGCGTGAAAGTAACACCGAAATCAAGTAGTGCCAAAATGCACCACTGCATTTTGAATTTGCCCGACAGGCTTCGGCACCCCCAATTTATGCTCATTCCTCTCCCCTCCCCCCCCACCCGCACGTGGTTGAATATATGCTTGTGGCGAATGATTACCCTGGGACACGCCACAACCTGAGTGAATCCAGTCTATGTATGGCACAGAGGCGTAGCGAGAGTGTTTGGCGTTCGGGGACAAGATTCGCGCCCAGGGACAAGATTCATTTTAAAACGCCCCCTTTTCTCTTTTTCAACTCTCTAAACCATTATTTTCATCATTTAAAATAATATCAAAGCACATTTAACTAGCTGGCGCCCGGGGATCTGTCCCCCTGCCTCCATTCGTTACGCCTCTGGTATGGCAATGAATTCCAAAATGCCTTCTTCTGACGATTGAAAATTCCTTCCCCAGATCAAATAGCCTAAGAGAACACTGAATTCATGTAAACTCCAAAATGCAACTTTTGATTTTGAAATAATCCAACATTTTTTGGGGGGAGGGCCCCCCCCCCCCCCCCCCCATATTTTTTTTTTCAAGAGCCAACAGTACCCTCAATTTATGCCCTTCTATTCTAGAATTGCCAAGATTTATACGATAAAAAACTCGTATTTGTCATAAAATCCTGCCCCTCCATAAAAAGTGACATCTTAGCTAACCATTTTCAGAGGCGTAGGTAGAGTGTTTGGCACCAGGGGAATTGATTCATTTTCACGCCACCCCCCTCTCCCCACATCTGAAAACCATTATTTGCATGCATTAAATACCATCACAATCCATTATGGAGTCCCCGCTGGTATGGTGCACGGGGGATATCTGTCCCCCCTCAGCCACGCCTCTGGCCACTGTCATTCCCCCCACCCCATAAAATCTGAAATATCCCCCCCCCCCTTGGGGGAAATTGTCTGAAAGAAATCTTCACCCCTCTCCCTTGGTCACACACATTCTTTGTTCGAATGCCACCACTTTTCCTGTACTTTAATGCCACTCTCCAAAAAACACTGAATGTGGTTCGATTTTCCCCTCATCAAAGTCAACATGTTTATTATTTAAAAAAAAAAACAACACAAATAGTAAAAATGTCTCAATTTCTAACGGGAAATTAAAAACCAGTCCGCATGCGGACAGCACTAATCTAGAGCATAGGTCATCATACTAATGGCCCGCGGGCCACATTTGGCCCACCAGGGTTCCTTAATCTGGCCCCTCAGACGGTCGTATCGGTACCCAGAAAAATGTGGACAGGACACGGACTACCACA